CCCTAAGGAGCTGTAAGCGAGAGGAAATCTTCAGCCAAATGATCCACATCATCCGCCCCCAGCCAGGACCCAATTCGCTGGCTGCCAGCTAAGCCACAGCAAATGGCTAATGCGGGGGGAGGGAGCCTCAGTACGATCAGTTTGGCGGTGTTTGGGAGCAGCCAGTCTCCTAGCCCTGCCATTTTCCCCTGTGTCATTCTTCACAATCCGTGTCCCAGACATCATTACCAGGCAGAGCCTTCTAGGAACCACTCAATGACTGACACAGAGTGGGTGTTCAATATTTACTGCATTAAATACCAATTTAAATACAATTCTCACCTCTTTCTGTAAAATCTTATATTTATCCATATGCTATTCCTACATTCTGAAATGTAACTCAGTTAACTTTAAGAAAATTCAAGCATAAAGTATTGCAATTCAAGCATAAAGTATTACACTCTGTAGCCAGTCATCTGGGTTCTAGTTGTGTGACCTTGAAGAAGTCACTGAGCTTCCTAAGACTCAACTTCCCATCTGGAGAATTGGAGCTAACAATCACTTCCACAAAGGCCTGGTATGTACGTCAGTGCTCATTAAGTGAATAAATGTTAGCATACATTATTTATAAATTAGGATAACTTAAAATTATAAGCAAGGTATTTTGAGCCACTGACAAACGCAAAAATCAGATACCATTTAGAATTGGTCATGAAAACTGGAGAGAAAAGAATCACCTTTTTAGGAGAAAGCAGAAAAGGAGATGAGACGGTCTCAAAAAAGAAAGGCCAGTATCGTAGCAAAGTACTAGAAACAAATGGAGTATCTTTAACAGTTTGTAGAATGCTGTGAAACATTTCAAAGCATTTTAAACATCACACACACCAGTTCACACTCTGTTCATAAAGCATTTAGCATAATTCACTTAGTGTAACTTTCATTTTCACATGGAAGAAGTTTTTATCACAACTGACAAAACTAGTGTGGCTGGGAAACAGTACAATACAACTTCTAAATACAAACTGTAATGTTTTACTCTACTTAATACAGTGCTTATCGGGGGTCCTTACAATACGAAATTAAAGCAAAATTACATATGAATATCATATTTTCTTTAAGAATTGATCTTCTAGGCATGATTCTAGTTTTAAATAGTGTAGTGGTTTACCGATTTGGTTTCAGACAAACCTTAATGGATCAGCATTAACGTTTTTCTCTTTTTACTCACCTTCTGAAACATTTCCTTAGTTTTCAGTCAGTACTAGCTCTTTTAAAAGAAAGTAACAAAGCTTAAAGTCGAAAATTACTAGACAAGTCCTTAAAATGAACAATTACATATTAATCAGTCTCTCCTAAGCTCAAGGATTACTTTAGCAAGTTATAATTTAATCTAACTCCATTTTGCATTAATCAAATCTTAGAATATAATAGTATCAAAAAACCAGAAGCTTTCTTTTAAAGATGAGTACTTGCTTTTGTACCTATTACCCCTTGAGGCACTAATTGGAGTTCCAGGACAATGACTCAGCTCGAAAGGGAGGCAGCATTCCTTATTCTTTTAAGAAAAAAACCCTTTCTTCTCACTAGAGGAGAGAGTCCCCTGAAATGGTTGAGAATACGCCCTCCCAGTTCTAAAGACCTGGGGAGATGAGCGGGTTCCTTGTTAAGCTGCTACATAAAAAAGAACTACTCCTCTTCAGAGGGACAGTAGGCAGCTGAGGCCGCTCATCTCCGGTTTCGCTCCATTTTCTCTGGGGGTCGGAGGCATCAGGTTCAACCCGGGGGAAGCGTTCACTTTTCTCTTGTTCCATTTGACGCATTTTGGGCCGATGCCCTCAGAACGTGGTTGTGGCTCAGGTTTCTCGCTCTGTTGGCATCCATGAAATCATTGGGGATGGGGATTTTCTCGCTTTCTAGCTCTTCTCTCAGGGAAATAATAATGAATGCTCCACATGCTGAGATATACTATGGTGTTAACGCCCTTTCTCCGCAAATAGACACCCCTTTTTGTTTTGGTGTATTAATCAAGGAAAATAAAGACAGACATGCAGTGCTTCTTAAGAGTTTTTGGCTTACACACTCCTTTCCTCACCCGGCACCTGGAGAAAACGACCGAGCACTGTCCGGTGGACTCTCAGGGCGTTGCGGGTGCCTTAATAACATGTTCACCGGGGTACACCTGCACAGTTCACCCAGTAACTAGTGCCATAAACATTTACGGGGACAGAAACATTAGTTTTCATCCACCGTAGAAGGAAAACTGTATCTCCAAAATTTACTATAAATTACTTAGAAATTCTTTACAAGCCCACCACTATATTAATTACTTAACAAAATCTTAAATCAGTCTTAAATGACTACAGGCTTTCAGGCCAGGGACGAGCACTCTGAAGAAGGGGTCGGCACCGTGCGTTGCACGGAAGGAGGCGCAGCTCAAACCAACCCTGGGAGGCCGGCTGCGGGCCGAGGGCAGCGAGCGGGGTCAGGGCACGAGGGAGGCCGCCGTCCTTACGCCACAGGCACCCAGGCCGTTCACCCCGCAGCCCCTCCTGCGCCCAACTCTGTAATCCTTGCTCGCCGATGGATCCCCGGACTGGCTGACATTTCTTGCTCTGAGGTGTCCTTTCACACTAGGGACTACTGAACAGCTGCCTCTTACAAGAGCGCCACAGGCAACGACCAAGTCAACATCTGGGAAGACCCCAGCCTGGCCCCCAGAAGGTTCTGGAAGTTCTGGAGACCCGGGGTGTCACCGTCCCTGAGCGCGGCGTCACCGTAACTCCTGCCTTCTCTGACTCTCCTCGGCTCCCGAACGCTCAGCGTCTGTCACTCAGAACGGGGCACGACAGCGCGCGCACAGGTTTTGCCTGAACCGAGCGCGTTTCCGGAGGCAAGGAGAGGAAAACCCGCAGGACACAGCGCCGCCGCGCCCGCCCGGAGGGGCTGCCGGGCGGACCCCCAGCCCCGGCGGGAGCCACGGCCCCCGCGCCCCGCCGCGCACCTGAGCTCCAGCTGGTCCAGGCTCTCCAGCAGGCGGCTGGAGCGGTCGGCCATGGACGACGAGCGGCAGAAGCGCCCCTCGTTGGCCTTCGCGCTGATCTTCGCCTGAGCCATCCGAGCCTCCCGCGCGCGCCGAGGGGTCAGCGGCCTCTCCGGCGGCGGCGAGCGGAGAGCGCCCGCGACCGCACGTCGCCGTCACCGCGCGGGGCGCCCGCCTCCTCTGACGCCCGTGGGGGGCGGCCCAGGAGGACGCGCCGCCGCCGCCGCGGGGCCCCCCGAGGGCAGGCGCCGCCCGGGGCAGGGGCGCGCTGGCCACGCCGGCTCAGGAAGCAGGGGTCCGGGGGGGGGGCCCGGGACGGGGAGGACGAGCGTGTCCCGAGACCGAGGCGGAGACCCTGGCCCGTGACACCCGACTCCCGCGCAGCCTCAGACCACCGAGCCGGCGCGCGGAGGCCCCAAAGGGGGGCTGCGCGCGCTGCTCTGCGAGGGCCCCCCGGCACCCATAATTCACAGCAGAACCACACACGTGCAAGTCCTTTGATGTGGGGGGAGTGCGGCGCGGCGGAGGCGTGTAAGCCCAGCTCCGCGCGGTGTGCGCGGGCCCGCCCCGTCCTGGTACCGGTTCCTCGCCGGGGAGGACGGTAGTTAGGCCTGGGCACCACCACGGAAGCTGACAGAGAAAAATGAAAAGCTACCCCGTCTTTCTGGCTAGCTGGATATAGGATGCAAGGGGAATTTAATTTTTTTTTTCTTCGAGTGAAATAATCGGTGCTAAAACCATTTCACACCCAATTTATTTAAATCTCTTAAGAATGAAAAGATGCAGTAGGCCACTAGTTTCAGACACTTTAAAAGTGCGCAAGTACAAAGATTTTTCTGCTGAAAAACTTGGACTTTACTCCCATCTCATTATAGCTGTACACCTTGTATTACAAGGATGAGAATGAACGTAAAATGATGGGTAATAACAGTTTAAAGCTGAATCACAACCTTTAATTTGAGATCAAAGTCATTTAAATAGTTGACCAGAGATGAGGCCCTAAAGCCTGGATTCCAATTCCCTCTGAACTCGAATGAAATACTAATAAAACATTGGCATAGGGGATTTAACCTCATTAAATATATTGTCATATAATTTTAACACACACTTGGAATCTGAAGACATTTTGTGAAATGGTTTGAAAGTCAAGTTATTTTAGAATCGTCTTGGACACTCTCTCATATCCTTGATCCAATCCATAAATAGATCCCATGGGCTCTTCAGAATATATCCAGATTCTTCTGCCCAGTTCCACTGCCAACCCTCGGTCCCAGCCACCAATTCTCTCCCGGCTTACGGCAGTACCCTATTTGGTCTTCCCGCTTCCGCTCTTGCCTCTTACTATGTTCTCCTACAGTAATCCTAAGTAAAGCAGACCATGCCACTTTTTGCCAAAAAACTTCAATGGCTCATTTCAGAACAGAAAGGCCTCAAAGGACTTCATCTCCTATTACTCTCCTAACTCATCCTGCTCAGCCCTGCTAGCATTCTGCCTGTGCATATACCTCAGGATCATTTGTAGACCTTTTCTCCCTCTGCCTGTAACACTTCCCCACAGTTGCATGGCTCACTCCCTCACCTTCCTTAGGTCTTTGCTCAAGCTCTGGTCTGGATCTTTCCTGACCATCTATTTAAAAAGCAAGCCCCCTGCCCTATGCTATTTATCTTTGCCTTCCCTATTTTCTTTCATCACGCTTATCACCTTGGATATACTTACTGTCTAACACTCTATCCAACTACCCCCAGGTAGAGTCCATAAAGGAGTATGGGCTTTGTTTTACTCAGTGGTTTACCTCAAGTGCTTGGAACAGCACATTGTTAAGTACTCAATAAAATGCTTTGTGAGTACTGAATGAATGAATGATGTAACAAAGATACGCATCTTGGTCAGTTAGAAACATTTACTTTTGGTAATTTAATAACTTTCTATAATACCACAGATTACTTATCCTCCTGTCTAAATTAAGTTCAAATTATGAAGTAATTTAAAAATGATTTTAATTGTTTAACAAGTAGAAATAGTGACATTAATTAGAACATTAAACAATTCAATTACCTTTTAAGGATCATGTTGAAATACCCCTTTTGTGTCATATGAAAAGCTTCAGTTACTCTTTACCACACACATCACAAAAGCTTATTAATAGAACATCGGTGCACATCCCATGCGTGTGTGGCACCTCTGGCAAGGAGATGTCTCCTTCTCCCTACATCTGCCTGACCACTTTTCTTTCTGGAATGGCCTTTCTGCTCCACACTACTGAGCAAGTTCCTGCATGTGTCTTTAAGGTCGGGTCAACAATGGTCACCTCCCAAAGCCTTGCTCAACCACTTCACATACAAATTAAAAATACAGTGTGCCCACTTTGAACAACTAGACTGGTGAACTCTCAAGCTACAATGCCTACAAGAAAAAAATGCAAGCAGGTGGGACAAAACTGGCCTCTTAAAAAATAAAAACAAATTAGATTTCAATGTGGATTGGAAAGACAATAGTAATTTTAAAAAGTAATGTTATTTTACACTAAAATATCTAGTTGCAGAAAAAGAACAAAATTTTAGCCATAACTTTTTTCCAATCTTATAGAAAAATTTATATTTCTGGAAAATTTTAAGTTTGGTGTAAGTAATGACTATTCAAAATTTTTAGGGATGACATTTCTGTTCAAAAAACATGAAGCATATACACAAAGATAGGAAAGCGCCTCTTAGCCTTCTAATTATTTAATGATTTTTATTCACAATGAAGCCTCAACATTTAAAAATTAAATATGTGCCACCAAATATAAGAAACTAATAATGAATTACTAAAATGAAGATACTTCCATATGAAATAAAAAATTTAAAGGACTAAGGAAATTATTCCTGAGTAGATCTTCAACATTATTTTTTGAAGAATATTATGTTTACAAAAACATATATATAAAAGGACTATTATTAAAAATAAGTTTAATTCTATGCAAATATTTTGAATCATTCCCTTTAAACAGTAGATAATGCACATCACATAAAAATCTAAGCAAGTAAAAGCAACAGACAAGGTTTCCTTTTAATAATGAAATTAGTATGTATTTGTTCTTATTCCAGCACTGTGCTGCTCTAATTAAAACAGGAATATATAGCTGAGTGAAACCCACAAAGAACACTGCTGGCAAAATTTTTAATCTGTTTCCATGATCAGTTTCCATTACTCTTCTTCTGAAAATCACAGAGATCTCAAAGGTAGTATATATTAGTGCCACAGGAGAAGTAGAATTTAAGAGAAAAACTGAATTATGACAACTTTATTTATATTCATTTTCACTACTAAAAAAATAAACTAGAATGATCTAAACAGTACAAATAAAATTAAGGAAATAATGCTACCTGTGAAACACATAAACAAGTCAAAAGCTTTTCTATTTTTTAATTCTTATAACTAAACATGTAAGTTCAAAGTTAACTGGCAAACTGTAATATCTATACTAGAAATACACGATTTATATTTGCATTAACGTATTCGATTCCTCTGTACACTTTTGCAAAAAAGCACAAAAATACAAGGCAAATATGTAAAAGCAAAAAAAGCATCTTTTCAAATGCATTTGTCCTAGTAGAGATCTGATCTTTAGAAAACAAATTTCAAGAATTTATCCCAAGTATCTTCAAGGCCACTTGATGTCGTGTGGTAGTATCTTTAATTACATTTCCTCAAGACTTCTTCTAATAGCTTCTTCTAATTCCACATCTGCATTAAAAGACAGAATTTTAATCGTGCAGAAAACTAATAAACATGTCCTGTATATAAGTCTCATTAACTACATCTGCCTTTTTAAAAAGGAAATACAAATTTAAGAAACAAGATAACTTGGCAGTTTCTCCACTGTAAAATGAGAATCTGGATATAATCTCAAATTGAATTATAATATGTAAGCTTAATGTGCTAAGGAACCTGTAAGTTAACTCCATTTAAGGATGTAGAAAAAGTTCTAGACTCACAGGTAATCACTAGATTCAACATTAAAAAAAAAAGATCTATTTATTTCCAAAAAGAATTGAATTAATGCATATACACTTAAAATAGAAATAGCAACACAAAACCATGAAATGGCAAAATCTCACAGGCTATTAAAATTTTACGCTTTCTAGCATCTAAGGCAGAGTTAAACTCATGGCTTTATCCTGTCTTCTGAGAAACATATATACACATATGCACTCATTTTACAAACAGTCGTTGAATGCCTGCTATATCCCAGGAACAAGCCTATAACAGTGAATAAGATAGATATTTTGGGGTTCACAGATATTTCTCTATTTCCTCTCTGAGAATGATGGTACAGCCCAGGAGGGTAGAATTAGGCATCAATTTCTTGGCCTTCACTAGCTTCTCACACCAGATTTCTCTCATCCCATCCATTCTACAATTTCTCTGAGCCTACCTGTCCCAGACACCAGTGATCTAACATGCATCTGCACCTTCCTCTGAGCTCAGGCACTGGTGTTATATTGTCTGTAATTTCCAATACTACAGGCTAGTACATGCTGTGTGTTAAACTAAAGCTAAATTCCAGGTCAGTGAGTGGCCTGAATTCAAAGGGATGAGGAAATTCAAAGAAAAGCCAAGATGCTCTTAGCAAAGAAGAACAAGGTGACGAGACTTGTACAGGATATGAAACCATATAAGGTCACAGTTAACTAAGAGTGTGGTACTAGTGCAATAATAGGTAATAGACCAAAGGAACAACATAGCTCATACATATATGGAAACTTATCTGTGACAAAGGTAGCACTGGAGAACAGAAGGCAAAGAGGGTAATTTTAATAAATAGTGGTGGGTCAATTGGTAGGCAATATGGAAAAAGTAAAATTTTACCCCTAGTTTATAGAATATACAAAAAAACCTCAGATTTACTTTATATATATATATATATATATAACCATGAAAGGCAAAACAACAAAGCTTCTGGGAGATAATACAAGGGAGTATCTTCATGACCTTAGTGTAAGAAAAGATTTATTAAACAGAATTCAAAAAACATGGCAAAGAATGGTAATTTGGAATGTATTAAAATTACTTCTATCCATGAGAAGACACCACTAACGAGTAAAAAGGCAAGACAGAGTGGAAGAGAATATTTGCAATATATGGAACTTGTACCCAGAAAGAACTGAAAGATTTCTCAACCCCAAAAGTCAACAAAAAGATAATCTAAAAGAAAACTGTCAAGATGTGAAAAGGCACTAACAAAGGAGTATGTCAAAATGGTCAATAAACATTACTCACCAGAAAAATGTAAATTGAAACCACACAGAAATATCAGTACATACCTACCACTAGTTAAAATTAAGAAGACTAAATAATTTCAGTGATTAGTAAAGATGTAGATCAAAGGGAACCCATATACAATACTGGAACAAAAGAAATTGGCACACCACTTTGGAAGAACAATCTGGCATTATCTGCTATAGCTTAACACAGAAAATACCATTAAATTCCATTCCTAGGTATATATTCCCAGAAACATGGACATACGTGCACCAAGAGACATGTATGAGAATTACTTGTAGATGCCAAAAAGTACAAAGCAAATGTTTGTAATAGATGAACTATGATATACACATAACAACAGAATATTATACAGGTATTGAAATGAACATACCAAGGCCACAGGCTAACATGTAGATAAATATGTAAAACGATGATTGAAGGCATCCAAACACAAAAAGAATATAGACCAACTTATGTTGTACAATATGATGGACACTGACTATATGTAGCTATTTATATTTAAATTAATCAAAATTAAATAAAATTTAAGGTTCAATTCCTCAGTTAAGCCACATTTCAAGTGCTTAGAGCTATAGGTGACTATTAGCAACCATACTGGTACAGATAAAGATTGTCATCATTATAGAAACATTTTCATCATTATAGAAAATTCTATTGGACAGTGGTGGTCTATATGATCTCATTTAGATAGTTCCAAACCAAGTACTACTAAAGTAGTGTTTCCAGACATGCAAGTGGCTACTAACCTTTGGGAAGGAGTGCAGGGAAAGTAACTAGAAGAGGGAAGCCTCTTAGAAAAGTTATTTTCTTTTGGCACTCCAATTATAAATATGTTAGGCAGCTTAGAAGCAATATAACTTGCAAACCAATTAAAAAAATAAAAAGAGAAAGCTAAGAATGAAATGGAACTAAGTACAAAAACTTTAATGTCTTCACTGAGTTTATATGAATTACATGTGCCAGTTAAAAAGATGATAAAAACAAAAACCAACTAAGTGGTTCCACTTCCACTAATAGTGAACTAGCACACTGGACTAACCGTCCCAGAGATAACAGTTATGAACTATTTAAGGCACTAGACAGCAACAAACATCAGAAACAGGACAGAAACTGATCACTGATGGCAAACTGCAAAGGACTAAATTTACAGCTTTATGGTTTTCTGCTGCCTTAGGGCATTCCTCAGTCCTTGTGGAAAAAGAAGGCAGAATTTTGGCAGAAAGTCAAACTCTGTGGCCTAAGCAGTCAAAGTCAAAAAAGTTGGAAAATGAAGTTGGGGGTGGGTGGTAGGTAGGTGGATGGGTTTCAACGATACAAAGAGAATTCCAGCAGAAACAAGAAAGCAACACAAGTGAGATCCTCCAACTTTATAAATCCTTTGTTGACATCTGAATTGCATGTACACAGGAGAGGATTCAAAATTCTCAATGAAAAACAGTTGGAAAGCTTAAAAAAAAAAAAAAAGAAAGCAATTTTAATTGTTGCCTTCTGTGGAGGAGGCAGAGTTTGGAGTTTGAGTCTTGCAAGTTAAGGGGGGAAAAAAAACAACCAACCTTCCTTAGATGAAGATAACAGAATCCAGAGAATCTGTTATATACATCGATAACATCCAGTATACATCAAAAATCACTTGGCTTATAAAGAAATAAGAAATATAACCTCAGAGTCAAGAGGAAGATCATACTGTCAACAAGTAATAGCCTCCAAGATAATCAAGCTCTTTGGATTAGCAGAGAAGGATTTTAGAAAAGTTCTATTTTCAAGAAGTTAGGATAAATGGTTAAGAAATCTCAACAGAGAAATGAAAATTATGAAAAACAACTAACTAAAAATTTTAGAACTGAGAATACAAAATTTGGGATGAAATATTCACTAGCTGAAGTTCACAAAGGAGACGGCAGAAAGAAGCATCAATAAACTTGAAGGTTGAGCAACAGAAATTATCCAATACGAAAAACAGAGAGAAGAAATATTGGAAGAGAATGAACAAGCCTTTGGGTAAATTTTAGCCACCTAACATGTATAACTGGAGTTCCAAAAGAAAATAAGACAGAAAACGTTGCAAAAAATTGTTTAAAAAAGGCTGGAAATTTATGAAATTGGGGGAATTTTATAAACAGATATAAAGAGCTAAGAAAACTCCAAGTGGGATAGATACAAAGACAACCACATCCAGGGACTTTATGAAAAATTGATCAAAACCAAAGAATTACTGAAAGCAAGAGGGAAAAAAATGACATATTATATATAGGGAAACAATATTACAAATTATGGTGACTTGTCATGACAAACAATGGAGGCCAGAAGAGCACAGAATGACATCTTTAAAGTGCAGTCAACCAGATTCTAAAACCAGAAAATATACCCTTTAAAAGTCCAGAAAAAATAAAGATATTTTCATATAAACAAAAACAGGGTATTCATCACTAGCAAAACTGCATTACAATATAAAAGGCATAAAATTGAAAGGAGTTTTTTTAGGCTAAAGAAAAATGACACCAGATGGAAATTCTAATCTACTGAAAAGAATGAATGTCACTGGAGATAACAACTAATGGGTAAACATAAAAGACTATATATTTTTCTTTTTTTTTAAATTTACAACACTTTTTAAAGCAAAAAATAGTATCGTGTAGAGTTTATAACACACATAAATGTAATATACATGAAAACTAAAGCTTAGGAGAGTTGAGGGCAGTAGGTAAACTGACCTATAGTGTTGGAAGGTTTCTTTCTACATTTTGGATAAAAAGCAGAGTAGCACTCAGCACAAGGTAAAAAAGCAATGATCATTTAGTAATCTTTAGAGAAATCATAAAAATCAATGTAATAGGTTAAAAATAGTCAATAAGTATATTAAAATAGTAAGCACTAAATACATAAAGTAGAATAAAATATAAATATAATAATCCAAAAGAGGGTAAAAAAGGAACTAAGAAGCAAAAGAAGGGACAAAGAGAACAAAATGGCAGACAGGAATCCAATTATATAAGAAGAAACTACGTTAAATGCTTATGTACTAACAAATCCATTATTAAAAAGTAGAGATTGCAGTAAATCAAAAAAGATCAAATCTTATTGTGTCTATAGCAAATGTACTTTCAATAAAAACATTTTATAATAAAAAGGATAAAAAGTACATACCATGTAAACATGAATAAGAAAGCTTGAATGTCTATATTAACATCAGAGAAGAAAGATTTCATGATAAAAGGTGTTATCAGACATAAAGAGCACTTCATAATGATAAACAGGTCAGTTCATTAGGAAGACACATCCAAGATATATGTGCAATTAAAAAACTGAACTTCAAAAGTATAAACCAACGGAACTAAAGAGAAAAATCCACAATCATTGATGAAGAGTTCATTGTCCCTACTGCAATGATAGATCAATTAGATAAAAAAATCAGTAAGGATAAAGAAGACCTGATATTATTAACCACCTTGACCTAATTGATACTTATAAAGTATTTTACTTAATAAACACAGAAAACACATGCATATGGAAATGTTCACCAAGACACACCACGTTGGGCCACAAAAGCTTCAATAAATTTCAAAAGATTTAAATTTTGCGAAGTATATTCTCTTACCACAAAATTAAAAGTGAATAATAAAATGTTTAAATATTTGGAAACTAAATAATATATGTATAAAAAGCCAATGGGTCAAAGAAGAAAATATAAGGAAAATCAGAAAATATTTCAAACTGATTATAGCAAAAATACAAGATACGAAAATTTGTGTAACACTACAGAAGTAGAGAGTTGTTGAGCTACAGTCTGTGGGCCAAATCCAGTACAGTGGCAATCTGTGTGAATAAAATTTTTGGACACATTCACATTCACTTGTTTATACACATATGGTTGCTTTCATGCTATAATAGAGTAATTGTAACAGACACAATAGAACCCACAAAGCCCAAAATAATTACCACCTGGTATTTTACAGAAAAAGCTTGCTGACTCTGGCTTAGAGGGAAATATACACCTTTTCATGTTTATATTAGAAAACCACAAAAATCTTAATATAGAAAGATAAACCCAAAGTAGAAGGAAGGACATAAAGAGAAGAGCAGACTGAAAAGAGAGAAACTATCAACTGAGAAAAGTTAATTCCTTGAAAAGATTAAATAAATCAATTAACATCTAGTTAGACTGATCAAGAAAAACAAAAATGACCAAAAACAAAAACAAACAAGGAGATGTCACCACAGATCCTACATCAAAAAGTATAGAATAATGGAATACTATTATAAGCAACTCTATATTGGTGCATTTGACAACTAAGGTAAAATGGATAAATTTCTTGATAAACATAACTCTCCAAAACTGTCACAAAATGGAACAAAATCTGAATACCTATGTATTAAAGAAAATGAATTTATTATCAAAGACTTCCCAGAAAGAAAAATCCTGGCACAGAAATTTAAAACAGTCAACTAACAAGTCTATATCCAGAAAAACTATTCTTCAAGAATGGAGGAGAAATAAAGATATTCCCAAATAAACAAAAGCTAAGAGAGTTTGTTACTAGTAGACCTGCCCTACGAGAAATGCAAAAGGGAATCCTGGTTGACATGAAAGTCTCAAAGCTATATGAAGAAACAAAGAACATCTGTGCAATGTCTTTGTTTTTCTTTTATATGGTTAAGTCCATGTTTCTCTTACTCTCCTTTCTCTCTGCCTCAATTCCATTCTCTTCAAGAGGTAATTACAGCGGTAGAAAGAACTAAGGAGTTAGACCTGCATATGAATCAAGCCCCAGTCATTCTGAGGCTGTGACTCTGAAGGCACATTACTTAATGTTTAGAACACTTAAGTTTTTATGTAAAATGAAGAGAATATTCTGACTCTCACAAGTTAAGACTGAAAGCAGCTGTGGAAGTATTGGATATTTCAAAAACATTAACTGAATTCAAAATGAACACACTAGTCTCTTATCCTTTCTTTGTTATTTAAACCAGCTGCAATATGGAGTTTTACTGTTTATGTTATATTATAATATTAATATTTATATTGATGACCGCTATTAATTGAACAAACTCTAGGGCAAATTACTGACATTTACAGAAAGACAGTTTTGCCTTGGTCACCATTCACATAATGCTGTCCTCCTCCTTTTCCAGTGATCTGAGCCAGAATACCTCTGTTATATAGGCATACTTCTGGAGCAGACCTTAGGTGCAGGTAACAGTAAATAATAATCATCAAAATCACAATAATATCAACAACAATACATATACTGCTTACTGTGTGCCAGGTTATTCTAGTTAAGATAGGTATACTAGTATTTTCATTTTTAAAATGAGGAAACTGACACACAGTGAAATGGTGATTTGCCCAGCATTACATAACATGTAAGTGGCAGAGATGAGTTTTAATCCAGGCAGTCCAAATCCAAAGACTGCACTATTCATTACCACATTATGTGACCTCCATTTCCCATGTCTAGTATCTGAAATAGATTATATAGGACCTTTATGATTGCCCTGGGTAGTCTACAGAGATCGACAAAGACTGAAACAAATCACAGAGGAAGGGACGCAGACCTGAGGGAAACTGCTTTTCCTCAAAGTAAAAAGCCAGAGGCCAACTTATCCTGCCTTCTGCCAACATTTTCAAACATTTATTGTTGTATCAGGAAGGGAAGAAATGAGAAGAGACCAAGAATTTATTTAAACTTTCTGAGTTTTGCTGTCAGTTCTGGGTAGAACACCATGTTGCAGGGACAACAAGATCACCTAATATTCTCTCAGTCAAACAGCCTCTGTGTTCATGTCCCTTATCCAGTTACAGAGAGATGGGTTGTAGTAGCTCTCAAATGTTGCTTTGTTAAGTTTATTAAGTTTATTCATTCAGCAAACAATCATTTGTGCCAAACACTATGTTAGATGCTGCTGAAATAAAGATAAACAAAACATGATCCTACTCCTTGAGGAGCTTATAGTCTGGGGAGGATGAGCAACGTAGACAAATTTTTTTACATCCATTGGGATAGTACAAAGGAGCCTATAGGAAACAGAAGTTAGTTCTCTACAAAGAAGAAAAATCTAGGAGAGGCATTGACCATACAAAATTGTTTACAAAATGGCAATTTTATGTGGTTTACCCTAAGAAATTGTATTTGAGCTAGCTCTTACTGGGTGAAAAGGAGAGGGAAACAGAAGAGTATTAGAGAAGGTGCAGAGAAGATCATGTTCTTTAACCTACACAGAACACTGTGAGCTTGTCACACTTACTTTATACAAAGCATCAGGAAATGAAACACACACATAATACCCCTCCAATTTTTCTTGGATTTAGAGCATTATGCCCCTACCTCATGTGATCAACTACTTAAAAGTTTAACATATCTTTTCTTGAATTTTTTAATGATCCTTTTCCAAACTAAAAAATTATAAAAACAAAAACTCTCAATCTCCAAACCGTAAAATATACCACACTGATAAAATTCTAGCAATTCTGATACATACTCAGTTACACATATTTCAGATTTCCTGCTTTAGCCAGGAGCGCACAAAACTGTGAAGGCTTCTCCCAAATGTGGTCATTTAAAAGTTATATTTTTGTTTGGCATTTTCTATGAGATCAGTCATGGGTGGCAAATAAAGGTTGCAAAGTCTCAACTATTTGGATGCTCAGCAGTGTTTATACTGTTTATCTTTTAGTCACCCTGATAAACAAGTTAGCTGGCAGTTTTTGTTTAAAACTAACAGAAGTTCCTTCATTTGTTTAACTCATCATTATGCGGCTGCTAAGCACTGAGCTAGACCTTACAAGACCATGTTGGGAAAATATGTTGACCAAAAAACTTGCTTTCAATTCTGCTGTAGATTTACTGCCAACTTTGTTTAACCACTGAATTCTGGCTATATGAGGGAAAGATTACAGTTGTCTACTTCACTGAATGGATGAATCAATTCCACTGCCAGACTTGAATTTCCCAACTCCTAATAGCACAAAGCTCTAGTATGCTCTTAGTCAACTACTTGCATCATTAGAGATCAAGCAAATACATAGAAAACAAACAGGCTGGACCACTCTGTGCCTGTCAGCCTCATTTCCCTCCCTACTTCTAGGCGCCACATTCCCACTCTCAAATCTCCAACAAATACTATGTTGGAATGTATATTAAGACTCCTATTTTGTCCTTTAATGTCAAAGATACCCACGTAATAGCTTCAACTTACTCAGTCAAGTACTTTCTAAAATTGTTGTTTTATTTTTCTCCATGACTATTAAAAAGCAGTGTTATGGAAAAACCAAAATAAGAAATGGGCACATGACACAACCAAATAGTGGTACTACTAGCAAATGACTTACTGTGAAGGAAGACATAAAGTTTTCTTTAACCTATGGAAGGGAATAACTTCTTTAATGAGAGAGATTTGTTAATTTATAGAAACTGTCCATTAATACTTAGATGTAAGTCCTTGTGTTCATAGTTCTACTGTATAAATTTTAATAGTCTTACTACTACTCACAATAAATACAAATTAGGAAAATAAAATCTCCTTATCTAAGTTAGTCAATTTTTTCTGCAATAGGTCAGAAAATAATTACTTTTGGCTCTTGGGAATGGTGGGGGTGGTCTGCACTTCTTTTGTCACAACTACTCAAACTTGCTCTTGAAATGTGAAAGCAACAGCGCAGACAGTACTGAAACAAAGGTGTGGCTGTGCTCCAGCAAGACTTTACAGGATCAGGGGGCAGACTGGATTGGGTCCAAAGGCTGTAACTGGCTGATTCCTTTCTAGCCTCCTAAACTAGTATTGTCCCTAAATCATCTTATGTGAGAACATTTTGCTTATTATCTATATGAGGAAAAATATTCTTCAAACTCAGGGGTAGGAGGGAGTAGAGGGGAGAAAGGAGAGAGGGAGAAAACCCAAACCATACATATACAGTCAAGTAAGGAAAAGGTTTAACTCTATTAGGTTACCTTCTGTGGAACTGAATTCTTCTCCTTTTATTAAAGGACTTTTTATGTCCATGTTATCATCACTGTCACATTCTGTAAGGCAGAATCCACAAATGCAAATGTATTTGTGAAAATTACTGTGCCATAACTTAAGTATTCTCAAACAGTAGTTTCAATGATTTCTCTCATACCCACACTTACTAATTACAACTCACTAGTATTACACTACACCACTTTCCCGATAGGTTGGTTTCTCCAAAACGCTTACCAAATATTACTTAAATCAAGAAAAAACTAAAATCTAATGAAGGAAAATTCAATTTTTAGGTCTATATTATTCAAAAAAATTACTTGAAAAAGTTCTTTTAATGTAACTATTGAGGAAATATAGAATTCTAGTATTAAAAAAACTGGAAATTTTAAAAAGCTGGTATGTTTATTTCCATCTAGCAAACAAACTCCAAAGTTTCATTTGCACAAAATCATCTTAATATTTTTTTAAATGGTGATAAAACTCTTCTGTATTTTGAAAATCATATGCATTTATCTCTATAGATACCATTGGTTTAAATTAACAATGCCTCTGCATTGCACAAACTCACTTACCTGGTATCGTATATGCTTTCATAATGAGAAACCACAGGCTTTATTAAAATGACATGACTGACCAGGTATTGTAAAAAGTCACTTAAAATCTGAACTATGGTACTATTGGTGATCTAGCATTTGACTCACTACTTTTAACACTACATTTAAATCAACATACATATATCATAGTGACTGAATCAGGGTTTAAACAATTAAATACAAGTCATAAGGACATATTTGCTTCTATTAAAGTATGTAAAAACTTAAAACATACATCTAAAAATTAAATATTTATAAATAAAAATCATTGTATTTTACTTATATATATTCCTTTGCTGCAAACATTTGTTATAACAAGTCATCTTTTGCCATTCCAGCAAAAAATACTATTGCTTTTTCTACAATCTGTTATATACACTTCTACAATGTTTTAGGGGAATAAAACATTGCAATTGAAAAAACAAACAAATTATGTCTTAAGACATTAGGAACAAAGAGAAAACACCTTAGGTTTCTGTTATTACACTTTCAAAGTCAAGGCCAGTCAACAGCAGCATGTCTTAACTGGCCTAAACAATTCATCATTGCATAAAAGGCCTAAGGCAATAGTGCAGGTGTGAATCACAAGCATTATCTTCACACTAGGTTGCAAATATTTTAAAAGGTTTTCTTTGCCTCAATCAGCCCCACCTGTAGAATAGACAAAATTATTGTTTTCAGTATCCTACTTTCAGTAACTTAAACAGAATTAATTGTATCAAACAGATTTTTTGGATGGTGCCCAAAGCAGCAACCTATACTCTCATTAACAAACAAGCTGAGGAGGAAACAACAGGCAGAGAGACTTGTAGAATTAAGTTTAACAGTAATTTTATGTAATACCTATTCAAGAGCATGATGCTATTTCAATCTTCCATACTTTCACAGCATGGGTAAAATTTTATGTCCAATTTTTAGGATGGCTTTAAAAATCTGTGTAATTAGTATGGCAAAATAGATACCAACCATACTTAATGACTCCATCCCATGAATTCCAAAATGAAGGCATAAACCAAACAGATACAACAAGGTCCTAGGAGCCTTGAAACCACAAATGACCCAAAGTTGTATGTAATATTGTATAGTATGTTCCTTTTGGGGAAAAAGCTATAGAAAGCTTTCATCAGATTATCAAAAGGGTCCACTGCTTTCTACCCCAAAATCATACTGCCTTAAGAAACTGTCTGTGTGTCAAATCTGAAGATAGGAACACTGCGCTAAGCGAGGTGAAGGGAGTTATCCTGGTATTCTTGTGGTAACCAAATTTACCCTAAAGGTCCAACAAGAATTACAGTATTTAATTTGTAAATTCTGTATCAATTCTGATATGTTATAACATGGATAAAACCTGGGGACATTATGCTAAGTGAAAGAAGCCAGTAACAAAAAGACAAATGCTGTATAATTTCACTTACATCAAGTATGTAGTCTAATCAAAATGAGAGACAGGCAGTAGAATGGTGGTTGTCATGGACTTGGGGAAAGGGGAAGAGGGAGTTACTGTTTAATGGCTATAGAGTTTCAGTTTTGCAAGATTTTGAGTTCCAGGGACAGATGGTAATGATGGCTGCACAACAATGTAAATGTAGATAATACCACTGAACATACACTTCAGAATGGCTAAGGTGGCAAACCTCATGTATTATTTTACCACAAGAAAAAGAAATTGGAAAGAAAAACTAGAAAAAAAAGTAGCTAGAAATCATATTTTCTTTTTATGGTAGTAGTTAAAAAAAATAGCTATTTAGCAGGTTACTGTTGCCACTGTACACCAGGGGTTCTCAGCATCCTTTAAAAACTGTAAAAGATCAAGGAGCCTTTAAATATCCCAAAACCCAGACTGCACCCCAGACCAGTTACAGCAGAATCTCTGGGGATGGGGTCCAGGCATTAGCACTTTTTAAGGCTCTTCAGATAATGCCAATGGGCAGTCAAGGCTGAGAACCACAGTTCTAAGGGAAAATCCAAGTGCCCAGTACCCAGAGAGCAGCCTTCCCTTAATTCCCTTATGGTCACAGAATCTTGTATTTATCATAAAGGTAAAACAGTTGGGTCTACCAAAAGGAATCTATCCTATGAATAAACATTAATCTAGAAATACTTAAAAAAATACCTATTTATTGAACACCACAGAGCTTTATATGCTGTGCTAGACACTGATAGCACTTATTCGTATACCTTACAGAAAGGAAAAATGAAGTTCGGGAAAGTTTAGTAACTTGCCTAAAATCACGTAGTTAGGAAGCAGCAGAGTCAGCATCTGAATTGAAGCCCATGCACTGCATTTCACAAACTTTCAGGATAAAGTACACATGTGCCCCAAAAAGCAGTAAACTCAAAAGAGCACAGATTATGAATGACTAAAAAGAAATACCTAGAGCATAAGAGGCATTCAGAAGGGAACAATCAGCGTATGACAAAACCTGGGTCTTGCCTCCAACTCTAACACACCCAAGCAGACCTACCTCTCCACAAAAGGTTTCACATTGTAAGTTACAAAAGAAATGCTACCAAAAGCAGGAGCACAGGAGGAGGAGGAAAAGGGGGTTGGGTTGGCTTAGGGTGTCAAAGGTAAAAATTTAAGTGTTTTAGAAGGATGTTAAGCAGATGTTGTTAGGGATCGGAGGAGGGACAGTAAAAGAGTGAAAGAAAAAAGATTAAAAAAAGCAGTAGTAGCCAGACAGAAAAAGCAAGTGGATAAAAAAAAATTACAGAATAGGGAGATAAAACTCAATACTAAGGCATAACATACACAGAACAACTGATTCTTCCTTTAAAGAGCACAGTTGGGTTTATACACCAACGATTCCTAACTTTGCAGAAGTGAATTGATCCACTGTTAGAAGTGATTACAGCAAAGTTCTTCAGAATGGGTTTTCAATGAAAATGTGGCTCTAAGAAAAAAATAACTAGGAGGAGAGCAGAGCTGGAAAATGTAAAGGCATATAATAAAAAATGCCAAAAAATAGTTTCTCATTGAGGTCATTCATACATGGTTATAAATTAGAATGTTTAAAAATTATTTTTTCATTGTCTTCTATCCACATTTATTTCAAAAATTATGAAAAAATAAACAAAAACAACATGTGAATCCCCAGAATCACATCTAAACATTGGGTTAGTGAAAGTGGGTATCAACATGTCCTTTCATTGAATAATCTCAGAAAGGTAGAGAAGAAAGTGTTAAGTTCCAGGGATAGGACAGGAGGGACCTACCCCAAGGAAATAAAGTATCTCTCAGGGTTTCATTTTGTCAGTCAATCTTCTAAATGGTCCTTTCATTTATTTGGTATTGCCACATTTATTGTTTTCTGGTTTTATCTATAAGCAACTTTGCTTTCTGAAAAACTGAAAATAAATTTGGAATTTCAGACACAAAGTGAAGATATGGTTCTGGGCTTTGCCAAAATGTATCAACACATTTCAAACCATGAATATATATTTTTTATGTGTATATAATTTTATATACATGAATATAATTTTATCTTATTAGAGCAATTAAGGATCCAAAAAATATGTTTCTTTCTTCTAAAACACTAAAGAATGAAAGTGATATAAGGAAAAAAATAAGACAGGAGTCTGAGAGCACGATGTTTTAGTAAGCAGACAGCAGCTCACTAACGGACAGTTTATTGGTTTCCCTCAGCAGTTGAGTCTCCTCCTTTTGGGCGGTTTGCACTGTGACTGCAGCTGCGTACCTTTGGTGGAATCAGATATGCTATTTAACAAGGCACACATCATATCTCCCTCTAAGTGGTGAGGGTTTAGTATATGTGCTGGCCTCTGAGTCTTCTTAAATTGATTCTCTAGCTCCAGAAAACCTTGATCTCCTGAGAGGATGGTGAAAGGAATTTGCTTGGGTAGTTGTTCATCTAGACGGCCAGCCTAAGTTGGAACAAATGGCATAAGTTGATAAAAATCAGCATTTGCATTTCAAATCAAGTTACATCTATTTCAGGATGAGCACATACCTAGGAGGTATATTTATTAGCTTTAGCTTTTTCCCAGCTCCCGCCAAAGTATGATATATAAAGATCTCCCTCACAAATTAAATATACCACACTTAGTCAAAGATAAAATGCCATTAATTATCATCTATTTTATGTGCCACTAAGAAACCAAAAAAAAGGTCTAGCGAGTTAAATAGGAGCCCTCCAACATAAAGCTGGAATGCTAAGGACTACACACTCAATCTAAGGGTAAATAAATAAATTTGCCACAGAAAAAAGGTAAGTAAGGCAATCTGCATGAATCAGCATTGGACAGGAGCAAAAAGAAATGTGCTTTAAAACATAAGCAGCAGTCAACAAGTTTGCAGAGCACATTCCTGTTATCAATGTGACACATAAACCCTTAAGCAGAGAATTTATCTTAAACAGGATCTCAGGTTGGCAGTTTTTCTAAAACACTGGCAGAGACAGAGGCAAATGCAAATCCCATCTTGGCCAGCAGTGACTGTTAAGGTGCCTCTCAATTTCAGAGATGTTAAAATGTGCAAGTGTCTTAGCATACATCAAATACAGTGTCACCTGACCACTTATTCCATAGATAGCTGCATGAGCTGAGTCTACTTCATGCAGCTAAGAGTCCACTAGGAGTAAATGAGTATGCTATGGGCCTTTGCCCTCATTAGTCATAAGCAGAACCTGATACAGAAAATTTTATACAAAAATATAGCACTGAAGAATGATCTACATGTCATTACAAGTCAAGTGGCAAAAAATCCAAATGGGTCCTACATTCACATCCCACTTCAAATAAAACAATGACTCACATGCATACATATGGCAAAATCAGCAGCATCTTTTCTGTTACTACAGCGAGGGTGAAGGAAGAAGCATCCAATCCTATTCAGATAATTATAGATCTTACAGTTGAGTGGAGGCTTCCAATTGGTGTTTCCTCCTATAATTTTTAGAAAAGACATAAATGATAGTCAAACAGGGAAGAAAAAGAACACTAGATACAACTAAAAATTCTATCAATGAAAAACATGCAAGAAAAAGATTTTTCTAGATGGAAAGTACTATATTAGAATGCAGAACAATTCAGTTCTAGTGCAGGTGTCACTACCTTGTTGCATTTACCTTCTTGGGAAAGTAGACCAACTTCCCTGAATCTGCCTATTCATCTGAAAACTCATAGGGATAGTGAGCAGAATCAGAAGTAATGTGGAGAAATTTCTTTGAATGGCATCATTCTATATGAATGTAAGCTTATTAGTTTTTTACAAATATGTCAAAGCTGTTCAAGTGGATAGAAATAATGGACAATCTGCAAAGCTAGATGTACAAAAAGATGATCCAAGTCAGTACATGTCTATATTAAATCCAAATCCTCCTCTTCATATGCTGTTCCTGTCAAACATGAAGTATATCAGATGCTCACTATACTAAACTTCTATATGTCAAAGGTCTCTCTGCCAGGTTTGATCAATGGTTTGTAAAGAGATTCATAGAAGTTGCATATTTATGAATAGTAGTAACAATGAACTGAAGAGGGAGTTATGGCATGTTGAAAACTTCAGTGCTGCAGGTACAAGTTTCAAGTTCAAAAACTAAATCTACTGTTTGAGTTTTACACTTTGGAAAAAATAAACTTTTCAGCCTACTTCCATATATTTTAAAAGTAAGGTAAACTACAATAATCAGTAAGCATGCATTAGTACTACGTATAGTACCTGGCACACTGTACTGCCGAATAAAAAAATTTTCAATCTGTAAGATTCACAAACTCTGTGCTACCAAATAAAGCTAACATTTACCACAGAGAAACATAAAAACAAAAATATTCTAGCAGAGTAACTATAAAGTGGCTTTGCAAAAAATACTGCAAAGTGACAGTATTCCAATTATATCCCCATGTTCTATTCAGGAAGGTTCAAGAGTAGTCCTTTTAAAGTGAACCATATTTTAAGGGAGGAAAAAGAAGGAGAGGGGGTTATTTCAAATGTCTTTTTTATTAGCCATACCTTGAAAGCCCCAAATAAACGTTCCTTGGTTAAGATGCCCTGGTAGATGACCAAAAAAGCTTGACCAGTTATCAAAGTCTACGAAGACTATATGAGTCATGGTTCGTAGGTATTCCAAATCTGGAAGCTCAACAACTTCATCATCTGAGAAGAAACATTAACATGAGTTTGATAATTAGCTAAAAACATTTTAATTTTCCAAGTTTAGATGATACTAGAGAATAAGATTCAAAAATATTAATCTTGCATGTTACTCATTTCTACTTAAATCTTTTCATGAAACCCAAACCTGTACATGACATGGTATATTTCTATCATAAATAATACTCTGAATTATTTCAGAAATTTGATTATCTTTTCTAAAATGTATGCCATTGATCCTAAGATTTTCTTTAAAAGTCATTTACAAAAGGAATTTTTAAATATTAATGTACTGAAGAACTAGAAGACCAAGTTTTACAACTAAATAACCAAAAACTTTCACCATCCATCAAAATAAAGTTTCAAGGTTACCTAAGAAATTTTTCCTCACCAGAATTTCATTCTTTCCCCAGTCTAGACTGATTTATTCATAGCCTCTGGCTCTGAGATTAAACACCCTACAGAAACAAGATAACCTACAACTGTTTCTATAAGGTGGTGCAGAATAGTACTGACCATAATACATGTGCCCCTCTTACTTCTTTCAGGTTTTTTTCTCTTCCACTTCTTATTCTCCATTCCTTTCCCTTCCTTTATACTTTTCAACCTTAACAAGGCCTTAAAGTTTCAAGTAGTAGCAATGCAAATCTTAAAATTTTTAATTATTTTTAAAATTAATACCTTCTACTCCAACTAATACACTCCCTCAAAGATACTACTGCCATCCCCCTCCCTCCCATTTCCAAGCCACCCATCTTATATTTTTTAAGATTCTCAGTAATTGTGGATTTGGACACAGCAATCTTCTATCAAACACAAAACAACACAAGTTCCCAAAAAGTAACCAGAAGAGCAAAAAAGCACAGGAGAACATAAAACAGTGTGACCACTGTTTTACTGTTTGAAATAGAGCTGAATGGGTCTGCAGCATGTCACTCAATCACTTCTTACATAAACATGCCATGACTAAAGGTGTTGCTGAGATCTACATATGCTACAGAGCAAGCCCATTAAATTCAATGGTTTATAAAATATTTTATTAGTCCAGATTTTCACATATCCTCATTGTCTCCACTCTACACTGTATAACTTACCAAGCGCTAATATTTATTTAAAAAGATACAGACTTAAAATTATATTCCAAACAAAAAAAACTCTATTTCTAAACAAAATATTACATTTTCCTAGACTTACTTACTTTTATCATATGGAAGAGGAAAATCCAGAGTTAAGTACCAACAAGAGGAGGTCCATACTTCAATTTTTACCCTACTTTCCTTCAACTACTTGTAAGTCTACTTCTAATTGCTATTTTAAGTGTAAGTAAAAGCTTTGCTTCTAAGAAAATCATAATGAAACATACAAATTCTGAAGTGACCTTTAAGATTTCCCATACTTGAGGATACCAAATAAAAACAAAAGAATTACTTGATTTTTCTTTTTAATGAACCTACATCTAAATGATAAAATGTAAATGTTAGTAATGTCCAGGATAACTTTCAAATCTGCCTTTCAGAAAAACTAACAATTTCATCACTCTAAATTCCTCTGCCTTTTGTAATAGAAGAAAATGTTATCTAAAATATACATTATTTAAAGTTAACATACTCTTTGTCCCCTTAGGTTTAGAGTGCTGAATGAACTGGTAGGACTATAAACCCCTGAAAAGTGTATGTACAGTAATTAACTGAGTAACGTATCATTGTACTGTGCTCCTTGCTTCAAATCACTATTACAAGCTGTCACAAAAATAATGGCTGTAATTTTTTTTTTAATCAGTATGTGAAATTTGTGCAGACATTAGAGTCGTAAGCCATACCCATATTCAGACAGCTTAGGTCATTCTCGGCTCCCTTCTCCAAGTCTGAATTTTTTGGAGAATTTACTGCCTGTTTCAATTTTCTCTCTGTGCGTGAGACACTGGCAGCAAACTTGTACAGGCTCGTTTCTTCAGATCCAAAAGGTGCCACACTGGGTTTCTGTAAGAAGCAATGATTTCTATGGAAGTGCTGCTGAGCACTCTTGAGATCATGGAATGCGTTGGTGCAGGTCCCACACTTGATCACATACAGTTGCTCCTCTTTCTCCTCACTCTTTTCTTCTCTGTGTACTTGATGGACGTGCGTGTTCATGTCAGCTATATTCTGTGTTGTGGCGGAACACAAACTGCAGCGAAACCACAGTTTACCTTTATCCAGCATGACCTGGAGACATCTACCATAATCTTGCTTTCTGTTGAATTTACAGGTATAACTCTCACGGCAACCACAGGTTAACAGGTTACTGGTTTCTATTATTGGAAAGTCACTCTCAGTTTTAATTGATTTTTCAGTTTTTTCTGACACAAACACATAATCTATGCTGTGATGTTCCTTGTAATGATTCAAAAAGGCTTCTTCCACATTAAAAATAAGATCACAAAGCCCACAGAAGTACTTAATCTTTACCTCGTTATCATGCTCATCTTGGCAATGTCGGTACAGTGTTTCCACCTTGTGAAAAGTCTTTCTGCAATGGGCACAGCTGTATCTATGAAACTGGTGACTTGCTAAAGACATGCAGTGCTGTTTTACACATTCTTGGGAATCAAACATATCTTCACAAATTCGGCACTGCCATTTACCCCTTGGAGGACTATTTGCTGGGGAAGGATCAACAACAGTAATAGTTGAAGAGGGATTCTTAGCAGTCAGATTACTCACCAACACTGTAGAAGATGATGGCAAGATTTCACCTTCTATCTCATCCGTCTCATAAAAATATCTGTGTCCGTTATGAAATTCAGTCACATGTGCCATGATAGTCTCCCTTCTTGATAACTCCTTTTTGCATGTCCGACACCAGAAAAGAAAGTTATTTAAATGTGCCCCTCCATGAATACGGCTCATATGTAAACGGATGACCCCTGAATCTTCACACACCTTTCCACAGACCACACATTTATAACACATTGTGTTTGCTGAGAAAACATGCTTTTCTACTGCATCTTCACTTGGAAATCGCTGATGGCACTCACAAAACCAGGTTTTAACAACTGGCTTCTCTGTCTGGACACAAACCCAATCTTTTTTATCTTCTAAATTCATCCTTTTTTTTGGAATGATGCCGTAATCCTGTGAGCTAGATTTCTGAATAGACATAGTTCTTTTAAGTGATGAAAATTTTGATTGATCTAGCAGTAGATGCAAGTCAGGAGGTTTTTTCCCTTCACTGCTGTGGCAATAAAGTAAAACTGATTCTTCTATTGAGTTAATGACTCGGACTTTGTGTCCTGAATTCTGCTTGTGATTTCGGGTACTGGTTTCATCCACAAAGATTTGGTTGCAATTTGGACAATAACCTCTTAATATGAATTTCTCTGCAACTTGGGCAATGCTCTTCTCAGCTACAGCTACAGGACCAGCATTTCGACAACGAACTCTAAATTGGATTAAAAAATAAACTTGTAAGTACTTTTTAAATACAGTATCTCTGCTTTTTATTGTAGGAATTATAAACATATAAATAAGTACTAAGATATTTCTCAATAAAGATGGAGATGATATAATAATATTCTATCACCTCAAAATACCTGAGTATTACCTACATTTTGTCTGTTTCCAATTCACATATAAAATGGTAAAACTAGTATTAAAGAATTTTAAAAAATTCAGTCACTTTAGGAAACTAAAAACAGTATCAAATGACTTGATAGAGGACCTTATCAGGCAAGCACATTATTAACTTCTCTATGGTAATTAAAATGTACAGAGGAATACTATGGTAAGATTCTTGAGTATCTGCTCTTTCAGAACTGATTCATTTTATGTCAGGAAAATACCATGATAGTTGCTTTCAAACGAAGAACGAGGCTCAATTAAGACCACCCACTATTCCAAAAATTTACTCAAAATAAATCAACTTCTTCAGAGGAAAAGTAAAATGCAACAACTGTGCTTCAACTGTCTTCCCTTCACAATTAAACTCTAAAGAGAACAGATCTGCTACCATTCCATATACTAAATATATTTTAAAAGTGGGAAATTATACAAAGTATGGCCCCTAAGTAGAGTATAATTAAACTGGAAACAAGGAGTGATAATAAAAACCCCTAAATATTTAAAAATTAAATCTCAGAATCTTTAGAGGTTAAACAACACATTTTTAATCTCTGGGTCAAAGTAGAAATCTAAAGGGAAGAGGGAAAATACTGTTAACAGAATGAAAATGAAAACAACCTATCAAAACCTGAGCGATGCAGGAAACACAATGCTTAGAAAGGAAAAAGAAGGTCCAAAGTTAGTCTAAGCTTCTATCTTAAGAAGCTAGAAAAAGATAAACCCAAAGTTTAAAGAGCAGAAATTAACAAACTGATAAATAGACAAACAAAAGAGAAACATCAGTGAAATCAAATGCTGGTTGTTTAAATGATCAACAAAAATTGGTTTGATATAATTACAAACATAAAAGACTGATTTTTTTTTTTAATGAAGCTATGAAATAAATTCCTGAACCAAGTATAAGCAAAAGTTTCTCAGGAGAAAGCATATCCATAAGGAAAAGAATAAATAAACTTAATAAGATTAAAAGCATCTTGCCACCAAAAGATATGAGTAACAATATGAATATGCAAAGTCTACACTGGGAGAGACTATATTCAGGGTGCATAAATTTGACAAAAGATCTAGATGATATCAAGAATTCCAACTTACTATTAAAAAGGCAAACAATCCAAATTTTTAAAAAGGCAAAAGACCAGAACAGACATTTCACAAAGATAAATGAATGACCCATCAGCATAAGAAAAAATGCCCAACATCACTGTTCATCAGAAATGCATACTAAAACCAGAGACATTCAAAAGAATAGCTAAAAGGAAAAAGACTGGCAACACCAAACTTTGGCAAGGATTCAGAGTAACCACAACCCTCATACCTAATGGTAGGAATATATACTGGTACAAACACTATGGAAAAATATTTAATAGTTTCTTATAAAATTAAATATACACCTACTTTTTGTCCAAGCAATTTTACTCCCAGATATACATCCAGGAGAAATGAAAACATATGTCCATAAAAACTTACAAGAAAGGTACATAGCAGCTTTATTCAAATAGCGAAAACTGTCAATAATCCAAATGCCCATCAACATGAGAATGAATAAAGAAACTTATATTTATATAATAGAATACTATTCAGTGAAAAGGAACAATGTAATAAACATATGAATTGAATCTCACAGATATTATGACAAACAAAAGTACATACTATACAATTTCCTTTGCATGAAGTTCTAGAGGAGATAAAAACCACTATTAAAGTAGAAAAAAACATCAGAATAGATATTACCTAGGGATGAGACTGTGGGAAATAATTAAAAAGGAACCGGATAGAACTTGCATGGAAAGGTAATTTATTATGAGAAAAGTGTGGGTTAACGCATTCATCCATTTGTCAAAATCATAAAATCTGTATACTTGAATGAACTTACACTGTATCTCAAAAACAAAGAACTTTCAAAAATAAGGAGAGTAAGGAGCATACATATGTGTAAATTAAACAAGAATGGCAGTGCTGGTTATTATGGAAGTTGGGTGATGGGTAAATGGAGGTCACTATACTATTCTGTTGATTCATAGAGTTGAAATTTTCTGTAATAAAAAATTAAGAATAAAAATAAAAGGCAGAACAAGGATCTGAATTCATGAAAATTCAAGTCAGTACCAGGACTGCTAACCTAATTATACTGAGTGTATCTACAGAGTAATTATACTTTGCTGTCTCTGTTTTACTGAGAAAGTATTTTCACTTAAAGGAGAAAATAACTGTTCTGTTTCAAACAAATGCTATCATGTCATTTAGTAGATACAAACTTTTAACGCATTTTAATAATGCGTTAAACATGAAACAGAGACTTGGAGAAACAGCCATCAAAATGCAAAGTACAGACTTTGGATCATGATTCCAACAAACCAAATGTAAACAACTTCATGAGGTAATCAGGGAAATCTGATAACTGACTAGGTATTTGATGATAATGAAAAACTTTTTAAAGGTGTGCTAATATTAGTTATTTTTTTAAAAAGAACAGTCATTATTTATAGATACATACTGAAGTAATTACACATAAAATGATGTAATTTGCTTCAAAATAATAACTTGCAGGGAGTGAGACAATGAAACACAACTATCATGTGTTGATAACCACCCAACCTGGGCTAAAGGCACCTTGGAATTCACTGTACTATTCTCATTTTTGTATGCTGCTTAATAATTTCCATTGCAAATGCAAGAAAAATCGCACTTGAATATTCAATAAATTTGGCCTTTCACTGAAATTTGACCTTTCACATGTATGTGATACTTTCCAGTCTGTTTGACTTAAAGCCAAGTTTCTATCTTAAACTGTTCTTCTACACACAGCACACACAGAACTTAGAAACATCGTTTTTACATTCACAGCAATATCAATATATCCACTTTTTTCACACCTCTAACTTCTCTCATGCTGAATTTGGCTAATTTCCAGGCAAATGCACACTCTCATTCTAAAAGGAGAGAAGCATGGAATAGAAAAGCATTCTTTGAATCCTTCCACTGATGAAGAGCTTATCAGGCAGGATTCCCTTACAGCCCAAGACTAGACCTGTACAAACCTGAAATGGGCCGTGAGCTCCATGTGGGAACGCAGTGTCTGGTGACAGGCCACACACTTAACTTGAAATGGAACGTCTTTGCACAAAGAGATCAAAACTTTCTTTGCAAAAGATGGAAATGATACTGGATGTGCTATTCCATTGTCATCTGAAATACAAAACAAACTACAACTTGCAAAGATTTGTTGAGAGTGACCCAACCTTCCTCCCCTTTGCCTTTCTCTACATCAAGTTATTTACATGATAAAAATCTACAGGAGGTAATTTTCTAGCCTTAAGTGCAAAGGACAATGAACACATGCTCCAACTCAAATTTGAACCTTTAATTTAGAGAAACACCTGAATTCCCAGATATTATGGATATAAAAAAACCCATAACCCTAAATAAATGTTTTCTTCCCAAGTTACTGTTTATTTCTCAAAGTAAGTAAACCTTACTCTTAGGTACAAATAAGTATTAAGAATCATTTTTGAAAAATAAAAATTGAGATAAAAACCTTTCGCTTTCATGTTTCTCAAGTTACCATGAAGAAAAGTTACCTCAAGAATTATCTGAGAAGTTATGGTAAATCAGCAAAGATTAAAAGTAGTTTAATAATTTTCAGCAGAAGAGAGTATTAACATACCACCCAGTTTAAAACTCTGATGGAAATGATTCCTTCCAGACATATGCTTCAAACACTCATCCTTGCTGCTAAAAAGAAGGAAGCAATTCGGACACGCAAAACACTGAATAATCTGAGGAAGAAGGTTGTTTTTATGTCCATCATCTGAAGCTTCCTAAAATACAAGGCAAAGCTGTATTATAAACAACTAAAATCAATACTCAATTTCTTAAAATCATCTTTCAAATTTTCTTATTTACTATTTATTTGGAATACTCTGCATCAGTTTTTAATATGAAAACTTTTCTTCTCTGAGTGTGAACTATGGGATTTTCTATTGTAAATAAAATTCCATGTGAAATTTTACATTTTCTCCTTAAAAACAAATTATGACCATCATTCTATAACAATAAATACACAAATGCATTTGCTTTCTGTAATTTTCCTTTTTATATATACATCCATAAGCAATATTACATAAGTGCATAAATGTTTCTATATCACATTTACTTTTGTTTGCTTTGCTCAATCTATTCTGCAATATAACCTATGTTTTGTTCCATAAATTCCTCCATACTTAATCATCTACAAAAAAAGTAAACAAACGGTGCTGACATCATTTTATCAAACACTGTCATCTTACAGACTCTTTTACCTCTTGGTTTTCTTTTTCTACAGTATGTAATGGAAATACCCTAAAAATCAACTGGTATAGACCTAATGCATTCTTCTTAATGGTTGTAAATTCCATGGTGTGGATTTACTAAGATTTGGTTAAGTATTCATTTCCAGATTTTTTTTTTACGACTATAAACAATGATGTAAACATCATTGAATATATACCCTTATTTACAGGTGCTTCTCTCTCATTATCAGGAATGACTATTGGGTTAAAAGGCTTATTATTTCACTATTAATATGTATGACTGCTTTTCAAGAAGGCTCTATCAATTGACATATTCCATAGCACTAAGTGAGCCTGGCACAATAGCTATTGTAAATCTTTTTTTGATTTGTGCAGCCTGACAGACATTGTGATACTCAATGCTACTTTAATTTGCATTTCCTGTCCACTAGTGAGTTCCAGCATTTATTCATACAACTCTGGGGACATTCCTTTAACCTCATGTTTCAATTATTTTTTGTTTTCCCCCCTTCTAGTCAACTTGTATCTGTTCTTCATTGCTGAAGCTTTGTCTCATCTTCCATTTTGCAAATGTTTTTCAAATATCTGTGTATTAATTTTGTATATGGTCACTTAGATTTTGATAGTCAAACAGGTATTTTTTTCTAGCATCTAAATTTTCCAAACTTATGAGTATCCTCTATTCTCAATTAGAAATATTCTTAAAGTATATATTTGTATGTGTATGTATATGTATGTGTGCTTGTATATAAACATAATTTAACTTAATGGTCTTTAGAGTAATAGCCTTAAAGGTGGTGTCTTCCTAAATTTACCATCACTAACATTAGGGACATCAGAATAGTCTTTGTGGTGCTTATGAGGTGCAACAGGAGAAAGGATAGGAAATTCACATTTATATTTAGCACACATCAAGCATCGCACTAGGGTTCAAAACATGCTTTTCCACTTAATCCTTAGAATAACCCCATGAAGTACTATTTCCATTATGTACAAATAAGAAAACTGAAATTTAAATAAGTCAACAAAATTACCTCCCACCAAGTTGTACCCCACAGGAGATAAAGCTACCCATCAAACCCATCTTTGGTAATAAATTCTATACTCTTCCCAATACTCCCCACCCCATTTTAATTTGGTAAGTACCATATAGAAGCTAACACTCAGGAAGATATTTTGCATTCCAATTAGAAGGTGTAAGGAAGAGCACGAAAAACATTTACTGACCACCAATTCACACAAATAACCCCTACTTGAAGAACTCTAAACTACAAAAATTGTTTAGTTCAATTGTGAGTTATAAATGGATTCAATATAAAGTTTAACTTGTTTGCTCAATAGAACAAAAATGTGATTACACATAAAATACCTTCTACAAATTGGGTGAGGAATAGGAAATGGGATGTCTGGTAAGTCAAAGCACTGAATACCTTTTTACCATTATATTTCTGGTTACATTAAGATAAAACATACTATAGAAAGCTGTATATTAGAAAAAAAAAGAACTACAGTAAGATATCACTTTATATCCACCAGGATGGCTGTTTTAAAAGACATAAAGGTGTTGGCGGGTGATGTGGAGAACTTGGAACCCACAAACATTGCCGGTGGGAAAGTAAAATGGTATAGTGTCCTGGATAACAATCTGGCAGTTATTTAAAATATTAAACATAATTACCATATGACCTAACAATTTAACTTTTTACAGAAGTGAAAACATATGTCCAAAGACTTCATATTTGTTTCTATCAACATTCACAGTAACAAAAAAGTAGAAAAAAATTCAAGTGTCCATCAACTGATGAACTGATAAAAGTGACATATATATATCCATACAATGGAATTACTTGGCAACAAAAAGGAATGAAGTACAGATACAAGCTACAACATGGATGAATCTAGAAAACATTGTGGTAAGTGAAGGAACGTTGTCACAAAAGGTCACTTATTATAGGATTCTACTGCCAGGCACACCTCACATTTTACTGCACTTGCTTTAGTGTGCTTTGCAGATAGTGCATTTCTGACAAACTGAAGGTCTGTGGGCAGCCCTGCACCAGGCAAGTCTATCAGCCTCAGTTTTCCAGTAGTACAGGAGAATTTGCTCACTTCCTATCTCATATCAAAATGTGTCAGATTTTAGTAATTTGGTATTTCAAACTTTCTCATTCTAACTATATTTGTTATGGTAATCAGTCACTTCGAATCAATGAAAGCTCAAAAACAAACTTAGGTGCACTGGGAAGCCAAAAATTTCATCTGACTGCTTTACTGCAACATTCTCTTTATTGTAATGGTCTGGAACCAAACCTGCAATACTCTAAGGTTGCCTGTATATGAAATTCCCAGAAAAGGCAAAAACCATAGAGACAGAAAGTAGTTTACTGCCTGCCTGGAACCAGGAAGTACAGGCTAGCAATGGGGGAAAATCACCTGGGGTAACAGAATGGCCCTAGAACAGAATGAAAAAGAATGGTAGCACCTGCTGACCCACAGGTGACACTGAGACACACCAGGGCTCACAATATGTTGTCCTCCTCCTTCTCCAAAAAAGGTGAAAAACAGGAAGCTATTTGGGGATATACCCATTAGATGGCTTAAATGTCAAAAAACTCTAAACACTTGCTCTTCAAGGTATGACCCAAAGACCTGCACACTGACATCATCTAGAAGCTTGTTAGAAATCCTGACTCAAAGGCCCCACCTTAGATCTACGGAGGAAGAACCTGTATTTTGACAAGATTCCCAAGTGATTCATGCACACATAAAGTTTGAGAAGCACTAGTCTAGACAGAAGAAACTGGATGGGAACCGGGAGGGAAGCAAGGCAAACAAGGCAAACTGTGGATAATTTCAATGTTTCCCTGAAGAATGCCATCTTCACAAAATAGAAACCATGGGTACACATTCTTCTAGCAACCTCTGCTGGCTGATTTAAGACAGCAGTTACAACCTAATGCATACTAGTGTCCTTTTCCTTGCGACAGACACTCCAAACAATAATGAGCATTTACGACAGCTGTTAAGTCAGGCCCTAAGTGTTCTATATAGTATTATATTTCTTCTCAACAATCTTGTGTGTAAGTATAGCAATTGCATTTTATCAACAAAAAACTTGGCTCACAGCTGTCCTGTAACTTGCTGAGAACACCTCCTGAAAGTGCCAGTGGAATCCAAGTCTGCCTGACAACAAAGCCTTCGTGCTGTGCCAAAATGCTTCCCAGAGGACTGCTAACCATCACAAAAGGCAGAGCACAACAGCACTGAACAACCATTTCCAGGAAAACAAAGGAACAAAGTCATGAATTTGGAAAAACACAAATGAGAGTACAGCTGACCCTTGAACAACATAGGTTTGAACAGCACATATCCAATTTTATGCGTATTATTTCCAATAAATATACTGGAAAACTATTGGAGATTTGTGACAATTTGAAAAAACTCTCAAATCGACCAGATAAGGGATAAAGCATTATTTTCATCATGTCACTGTTCCATAATAGCAACCTCTTGCCAATATCAAGTTTAAAATCTTGTGACTTTATAATTAAGTTATTATTTGCTCTGGAAGTCCCCAGGACCATCCCCAGATTCCACGTTTGCTAGGACCCAACAGGCCTCCGCATACGGCTGTACTTCATTCAGGCTGTGATGATAGTGAAAGGACACAAAGCGAAACCAGCAGGGGGAAAAGGCACACGAGGTGAAGTCCAGAAGAAAACAGGTGTAAGTTTCTAAGGCTCCTTCTCCCTTAGAGTCACACAGGGATACACTTAAATTCCTTCAAACATGAATTGTGATAACCATGTGAACTTTTGTCTATTAGGGAAGTTTATTACACATTTAGTGCCCACCATTTTTATTGGGGGCTGCTCACATTGCCTAATACCTACCAAAATTCCACACTCCCGTAAGGAAAGTAGGTGTTCAGCATAAACCACACTGTTAACACCAACAGTTAGCTACAGTGAGCCACTCACATCAGAGATTGGTAGGAGCCCTCCAAAACCCAAACAACAGCCAAGAGCCAACCTTGCAAGCAAGCCTTTCCTAAGGATGGCAGTGTCGGGCCTGCTATGCTAACTCTTTTCTGCACATTACCCCATATTCACTGTTCTGTTTAGGCTCTTCGAACTTTCCTAGAATTCCATCACGTTTACCTCCCACCTATCCAAATCCAGTCCTTGGAGACCTCTTCTCTTCCATAGTGCTTCCTCAATCTCCTGATACTTCTCTCCTGATTCTCTTAATTCCTATTTTACTTTACAATGTGATTAAAGCTTGTTCATTCTAGAATACAAGATCCCTGTGTTAAGAACTATAGCTGATTTATCTTATACTACAGCGACTAGTCAGTGTTGAACAAGATACAGGCTCCCCAAAACTAAGGACTGAGTGTATAACAAAATCTGCTTCAAGATACACATCTATTTTGGGAATGCACTCTATTATTAGAGCAGAGGCTAAGAAAACTGTAGAACTCAACTACATATATTTGAGAATACAAGCTTTAATTCTCTGCCATGAGCCTACCTATACACAACCCAACGTACTACCAATGTGTGAGCAAATTCTGAAGACACAATTTAAAGAGAAACACTATTGCTCTCTGGACATTACCATTTTACTATTTCAAAGCCTGACATTCATCAATACACAACCTAAATACACCCTACAATACATCAAAGATGAATCTGCTTAAAGGTTTTTAGCTATCAGGATATTTAATGTGGTATTGTTTATAACAAAAATTTAAACAAGCAATACTCCTAATAGGAAACTAAATGAAACTACAATGTATACATACAGTAGAATGCTATTCATTTATTTAAAATGTATGTACTGATTCAAAAAACATCTAAGCATTTTTTTGTACAACACACTGTTTTACTATAAAACAATTTAGATATTTTATTCTATGTAAAAAATTCATATATTGAAATAGCAGAAACATATAAGAGCAAAACCTGTCAGTATTTTTAAATTTCCCACAATGAACGTTATCACACAATTAACATTTTACAATGTTAATAAGGCCTTAAAGATATCAAATATAAAATCTTAGTAATCTAATATTATTACAGAGTTCTCTGCTTTATAAATTTGCACATACCATGAGTCAACTCATGTCCCTTGAAATATGACATATAAGAAGAGTTCCTTCATCTTCCTATGGTGACAGACAGTAGCTGCACCAGTGGGGGTGAAGATTTAATAACATGGGTAACTGTGGAACCACTGTATTGTACACTTGAAACCAATATAAGATTGTATATCAATGACACTTCAATAAAAAAAAAAAAAAGAGTTACTTAAGACAGCCTTTTAGATCTGTTTCTTAGTACTAGCATTAATAGAGGAATTGTTGTTTACTATGTGGTTCCAACAATTCAACAGGCAGTGAAAGACAGTGGACTTAAGTATAAGGTGGTAGTTCTCATCATGAGCATCTTGAACAAAGTAAGTTAATTTCACAGAGCGACTCCGTGAAAGTTGGCTTTCAGTTATCAAGTTTACCTACCCATAAAAATTTCATGTTCTAAATAATTTTACTTTCCACAGACAACCACAATTTTGATTTTACGAGTATCACTGGTGAGTACAAGTTTAGATGCAGCAAGAAAACATCTACATCCAACTCTCTAGAAAAAGAATACTATCTTAAGACATGTTCTTACCTTAGCAAAAAGGTGATCCCTATACTGTTGTTGAGTAACAAAATGTTTGTAACATACTACACAAGCAAAGGAATTCATGGAAGGTCCATGTAGTGTAATTGCTGGATCACATGGAGAGTGATCAAATCTACTTGGCAAAAGAGAAGGAACGTCAGAAAAGCCTACATTCTAGGGTCAGAACCATGTTTGCTTCATTTGTTAAGCAAAACACACACGTACACACACACATTTAGTACTTTACATTTTTTTATTGAAATATTTAATAATTTTCTTTATATCCAAAAAATATGGAGTGGCTCTCATATGCTAGGCAATCCCTTCAAACAGTGACCAATAAGCTAGCTCAAAATTTCATAGAAAGCACTCAAGATCCAATATGATGGATGTAAGCATGTTTTATCTGACTGTACACTTCCAGTTTGAAAATTATATAGCCATTTTCTTTTCCTTCTTGCCTTATTTACCATAAAACTCACAAATAATTTTAAATGAACCAATGGAATAATAACCTCATGTCAAGATTTCTGGCACACATCTGTCTCCTAAGAACAGCTTTTAATACTTTTAAATGCCTCCCCCTTATTTGTAGAACACTGAAGCTCCCTCCAGAAGCCTCTGTAAAAGTCCCAAACTCTCAATTCCCATCTTTAAACTACTAGGAGGAGAGACTGTCAAGGTAAGAATATTTAATGCCTTTAATACTGCCTTCCCTCCATACTGACTTTCTCAAGGTCTACAATTCAAAAAAAATCTAGTAAATTAATAACACGGTTTCATAAATAGAATATTTACTGTTAATTTTTTTATATTTGGTTTATTTTTAGCATTCATTTTGTAATTTGATTTTAGCTTTTTTGGGCTAGGCCAACTATAAGTGCTTTGTGTCTCTTGAAATTTGCATTTATGGGCTGGATTTCTCTAAAACTGTTCAACTGCGTATCAATGCAAAAAGGCTGTACAGAATTGTATGAGACATTTAAGGAATACATACATACTTAAAGGCGACATGCCTTTAAAGATAGGATATCACTAGAAAAATTTCAAGCCTCCTAGGAAGCCTAAGAAAAGTAAATTAGAAATAATTATAACAATTTGAGTTTGGAATATTGAGTTATAATCACAATGGCAGAAGTACATCACGCTTTCATTTTACAATATCACTTTGTAACTCATTTAATCGTCAGCATCCACTAAGAATATCATACTTACCTTTTCAAATGTCCTAAGAGAAGGTGTCCATTATCAAATTCCTTGTTACAGTGCATTATGGGACATGAGATTGGTTTCCCAGACATCCACGCTTGGCCTCTTCTTCGGAATGAACTTTTTGTTCCAGAATTAATCGTACCTGTTTTGACTCCTGCATTATTAGAATATAAATTATTAAGTGTCTATTTCAGATACTTGCCCTTTGGACTGGTAATCAAAATTATGACATGAATGTAATAAAAATTACAGTATGGCATAAGGTGGGCGATTTTAACTGTAATTGTTTATAAGCTTCTTGCAACAGATATAATAATTGTAAAGCAAATAGTTATTTGGGACAAGGAAAGCTGTCAACATCTCTAAGTAACATTCTCTTGAGGGAAAAAAAAAAATTGTTTCCTAAATTCAAGAGCCAAGAAGTGTCAAAGATCAAATACCTTAGAAAATCAGCTGCTCTACAGAACCCCTACCTCCCCTCTTCTTTTCCTTACATAAGTTGGCACACATCTTCTAATTTTTATTTTTTCTTTTAACTATCTTAAACACATTTTAAGGTTTAGCTATATTACAGAGGACCTGGGTTCTATGAAAATTGCGTTGAACAATGTAACTAGGAGGGCAGGCAGGAGTGGAGAGGATAGGGAGGCAAGGAGGATAAGAGAGCTACTTTCTGAGGAATCCAGCCACTGGCCAGCAAGTAATGCAGTTGTCAGCAACATATTTACAGAACACAGAGGAGAGATTTACTTATCTCTCTCCTTTCTATTTGTCCTGTTATGTCCCTTCCCTTTTTCTCCTTTCAAAGCCAACTAGTAAGTAGTTTGCCCATCATTACCTTCTCTTAATTAATCCCCTTTCATCTGGTCTGTACTTCATCCCCTGTCTTATTTTATAATCTTGGTCTTACAGTGACACAACTATTACAGACTTAATACCACTGACCAAATTTTGTTCCCAAGGAGACTACTAATACATGATATGCAATGGAAAATTTAGAGTTATGTTGTATAAACAAAGTACTATAAAACTGCCAGGAGGATTCTGATATACCGATAGCTTCTTACTGATTCTCTTTTATTATTATTTCTTATGGATTGTTTCAGTCAAATGCCTTTAATATTGCAGATAACAGAAAACTGGGTATTTACCTTCATGGTAGTTTCTACAAAGCCCCTAATCATTTAACTGGAACAGAATATTATTCATGTAACATCACCTAGTTTTAAGATATCCAAGTAGTTATATATGCTTAAGGTTTCAACTGCTTTTCTGTTATTTCATTCCTTATGGGGGAATGCCTTTACTAAAAACTGCCAAAATGATTACAACTGTTCTGCCAATAAACAATGAACAGCATGGCATTTATTATATTTTAATTTTAAAGAAGCATTAAACAACAACACACCTCTTCATTTTTTTTTAGTACATTCAGAATTAAGACAATTTTTATTTATTGTCCATCCACATCCCAATGTCACCCATTAAGACTTTTACTTAGCCAAACAGAGGCTTTGGATAAAAATAAAACTGAAGAAAACAATCAACTGAACAAAAATAAGCTTTACCCATGGAAAGGCAAAATACAGAGAAAATTAAACAGTTCTTTTCCTTAAATTGTACAAAGTGCTATTTTTCAGTTACTAAGTACTTAAGTGTATGCAAACTAGTCAAACTGAAAAGGTCTATAAAACATGGATTTCCAAGGTTAGAGTAATTATAAATAAAGTATTTAAACAACTTCTAATCAAAGAATTGATAGCTGAACGCTTTGGAATAGGTTGAACAAGGCCCTTAATGTTACTATGTAGAATCTCACTTTTTATAATTAAAAAGAATAATGACTCATTTCTGTTTTCCCCAGCTACATCCTCTTCAAAGACCTTAGCACTCTTTAAAGCCCATTTATGGAATAGCACCATACCAAACAAGGCTCAATGCAGCAGTTTCTAGCAATAAATACCAAACTTCAATTCTGTGTGGCAGGTACCAAGCAAAAAGATGAAACAATCATACAAAAAGAGCATAACTGAAGACCTTAACTCCAATCTCAAAGCTTATCAGCCACCAATGAACCAGGTACAACCTGAAGATAAATAAAATACCAAGTCTTGCCAAGAATCATAAAGATACAGCCAAATGCTCATTAATGTTCATTTGTTCCCATTTGGTCCACTCAAAGAAAAATGTAAACAGATGCTCATGAATTCAAATTGAATTCACACAAGGTGAAGGCCAGAGATTAGGCCTAATAGGGCATATTACAAGTCCTTATAACCATTTCTAGACAAGACTTGAAAGTGTTAGATTCATATGAAAAATGATTTAGAAGAGATCTTGTAGCTCATAAAGCATTGTAGTTCTAGCCCATTTTCCTACCAAAATCACTGAGGAATCTTCTCAAACCTACAGATGCCCTAGAATTATCTCTGGAGGTGAGGCCCAGGCATGTATTTAAAAGTTCCCAGATAAAACCACTGAGCTAGTCATTAATTTCTACTGAGAATGAGTGCATATTAAGAGGGATTTTTTTTTAAGTAACTGAAGCCTTAAGAGAGCATCTCAGGAGGCAAAACAATTTATAGAGTAGTTTCTAGTATCTTTTGCTAAAGTAGGATATCAATCATTTTGTTTAGTTGAATGAAAGTCACATTTGAAACCCCAGTTTTAAGCTCCCTTTCTGTGTTCATATGTACATGTTTATAGCTCACTTTGGTATAATATTCAACATGTATTGAGCATCTCTGTGCTGAGCATTCTTTTTAGGCACTGACACTAAAAAGGATTAAAAATCCTTGGTCTCTTCCCCACTGAGCATACAGTCTGACAGAACGGACAGACATGAAAACATATCAATCCAACATAAAAGGGTAAAGACTACATTGGATAAATGAATATAGCATTGTGGGATCAAAGAAGACTCATCAACCAAACTTAAACAGAATAAATAAACCTAGCAACCTCTAGTACTGAGTATTATCTGTGGGTATTATTAATTTCACAGCAAGTAACAAGAAAAAAAAGGAAAAGGTATTTAAAAGGAAGATGGGATGAGGTGGGAGACTGCCAGACACAAACAGAGGTAGGAAGGAAACAGAGTTTCAGGGAGTCACCCAGTGTCAAAATACTTACAAATTATGGAAATTATTTTATAAGCAGTAATTTGATTCTATTCAAAGAAAAGCCCTCTGAAAACTAAACTTAGAACAAGACAAGGTTCAAAGTTGAGCACTGTATGCCCAACTATTTCAAATGATGTTTTGCAACTAAACCTCTGCTGGATTAAATACATAGCTAAGGTCTCTGTGGCTATCGCAAGCCTTTAAGAACTGTCTTTCAAAAGAGACACTAGAAAAATTCCCATGGTAGGAATGGTCTACTAGCTCTTAAAAATTCCACCAAATTATCTGGTGTGGCGGGGAGAATGTTCCACAGTGACTCTTCCAGGAATCTCAGTTCTGCAGCTAGGGATAGAGAAGCTACTCAATGCTTCAGATAAGCCTCCCATGTAGGCACTTCCTTAGAAAATATCTACATAGGTTGCATTGACAAAATAATAAGTAAACACTAATCCATTAGATTTCAGCTTAATTACCATCTTATAGAAGGCTTTCCTGACCTCAAATAACCTATTATAGACCCCCATAGGTACATGCACTATTTCATGCAACACATGAATAAAAGAACTATATCTAATGAGCTAAAACATTATTTATTTACTCGTACTCAAAATATGCTTCCACCAAAATAGGAAGATAATTAGTAAAGTGGGACATTATTAAGTATTACTGAAACTAAATTCAACAATTTATATAGTTACTAGCAACTGAATAAAACAGACATAATGCCTTAAGGTTTTAGGGAAGCTCAGTAACTTTGGTGTTCCACTTCTATCTCTAAAGAATACCTGGCATTTTTAGCCACTGGTCCACACACAGTCTTGCTGCTTCTGTATCAGAATGTCCTTGAATAAATTCCAATTCTTGTAACCCATGAGCATGCTGAAAATCGATTTTTTCCTACAGATATTAAGAAAAAATCAATTAACCTATGATTACTAACCTGGTTTCCTAGAGAATAGATTGTGACAGAACAGTAACCAAAAATATACTGTTAATCCTACAGATAATAAAGAAAATAAAGACTGTGCACAGAAATATTTAAAGACTTTAACAGTACAAAGCATCTAGTTTAGTGATTGGCACTGGCCCTGCCTATTTTTGTAAATAAAGTTTTATTGGAACATAGCCATGCCCATTTGTTCTTTATTTCTTTTTCTTATAGAGCTAAGTCAACACAAAGGTTCATGTTCTAGGATGATTCCAATGTTATCCATATTTGCACAAAGTTTGCTATGACCTACATCTCCAACAATAGGTGCTGCTGAAGTAAATTACAGTATATACATTTCATCAGTTGTTAGAAACATTACCAAATTTTCCAGTGAAGTAGGAATATACTTTTGAATTCAAGTAGGTCACCAAATAGTATTACACAAAGAAGACCAAATATAAACAAAGATGAATTTCAAGTTATATGTAACTATATCAGCAGAGGTGGAAAAGAGGGTGAAAATAAATATATTAAATGTCAATGTCTATCTCTGTTAATTGAAATATAATCTTTTTCATTTTTAATCTTTTATACATTTTTTTCAAATTTTCCATATGTAGTCTGAAGTACACAGAAGCTTATGCAGTATCTGTTCAGTGAATATTAATAAGAGCATTAATATTTAATATGTGCCAATATAAAAGCATTTATTGCCACCTACATCACAGGTTGGCAAACTTTTTCCATAAAAGGCTAGATAGTAAACATTTTAGGCTACGCAGCCTATATATACAGTCTCTACTGCAACTACTCCACTTGCCACTGTAGCATCCAAGCAGCCATAGATAATATGTAAACAAGTGGGTGTGGCTATTTTCCTATAAAACTTTATTTAGAAAAATAGGCAGCAGGCCAGTGCCAATCACTAAACTAGATGCTTTGGACTGTTAAAGTCTCTAAATACTTCTAGTCAATTTACCTATAATCTATGTGCACACTCTTTAATCATGTTTTGTCTAACAATTAAAACCACTTACCACGTGCCGAGAAGTGTTCTAAAAGCATTTTAGACTTAATTCTCAGAGTAACTGTATTAGACAGGTACAATATTGTTCCCATTTTATGTACTGAGATACAAAAAGGTCAAATAAATTGCCCAAGGATAAATAACAATGCCAGGACTTAACTCTCACAGTGTGATTATAGAACGAATGTACTTAACCAGTATGCCATACTGTGTCTCAAAAAGCCCACATTCTTAAAAAGAAATCACAAAGTTGCAAACACTGAATTTGTAAGATATAGGCCAGAATAATGAATAGCCTACTTAGGATCTTCTATCAGGAAGGTTAAGGGGCAGAATGATTCAAGATTTTATTCTGAAAAAAATTTTCTCAACAATGTTCAAAGAATGGCCACAGAATACTGTTTTTCAAAGATATTAACATGTACTACATACTTTAAAAAAATTCTCTGTAATCAAATTATGTATAGAAACACTGGTTTTAATACAAAGTTCAAAAGGTTCCTTTAGTGAAGGACTTCCCAAGCCTTAAAGTGCTAATGTGTGTGTGACTTTCCATACAGAGTATGCAGTATACAACTTAATAAATCACCAAATACTTTATCTTTTCAATGTGTGTCTTACAGAGTCAGTGTTCTGAATAACATGCTATGGGCAACAAAACTAGTTTATCCAAAGAAAGCAGTATGACAAGCTTCTGGTAGACTATAAAGACATTTTCTTATGTACAGAATAAAACCATTTCTCAAAGTTTGTTGCAAACACCTATCACAATAAAAATTCTTAAATATAATTGTGATTAAATATTACTATATGCCAACTAATAGCTTACTTATTTTAAACAAATGTCAATAATTTTAAAAAGAGACTTTTTAAAAAAGATTTTAGCATTTCTTACAATGTAATTTGAATTCTGTGGCTATACATGGTTGGTCAATGTACACTCAAAAAAACATTTGTTGGCTTAATTCAGCCATCTTTTTCTCTTGTCAGAAAGCTACGTCCACAAACTTTAGGGTTATATCCTTTCTTGCAAGTCATCTTAACTCCAGCAATATCAATAAGCAAAGCCTGAGGCTGGTCAACTAGTCAGCTGAGCATATCATCACTCACAGTGATTTGTCCAGTGAAAGATTTTAATGAATTTTCTTTTTTTTTATGACTGTGTCAAAACAGACAATTTAATAGTGAGACACCAACAATTCACAATTCACAAAGGCCTAGAATAACTGGAGACATTTTCTATTATCTCTATTTTTGGTTATCTGTCATCCACTGGAATTCTTTAAGAATCCTTCCTTTCCAGGTGGTTTGTTTTATTTTTGTTTTCTGTCACCTAGTTTTAAAAAATAAGTTATCCATAACAGGAACCAAATTAAGAAAACAAAACACACAAACAGATAGCAAGCAATGAGCTAAAGCATCTGTGTGAGGCAATTTCTCCCTTAGAAAAGGATGAAATCTAGATAAATTTATTCTTCATGGGTAAGAATTTTGAAATTTCAAAAAACTATTCAGTTGTAAGATAAAGCCTTTAATACAATGAATGAACATTTACAGGGATAGAAGCTGACACTGTCCTTGAGAAAAACCCTGTCATAGTGACTATAAGATCATGAACTCATCACAAAAGCTTATTTACTATCTACGTGGGAACACTGCCTGGGAAAAGAAGCTAGCATCACTCAGGGAAAAGAGTGGAAAAGCAGGAAAGCTTGCAAACCACTCCTCTCTCAAAGAGATTTTCCCAATGATCCATTAACACCACACTTAACACAGTTTGGGGAAAGACTCTTCCCTAAGAGTAAATAGTGTTTCTGCCAGGAAAGAAATTACTGTTTTTTGTTGTTTTTTTTTTACTATCTCTGTGTGCTTTAAACGTACAATTAGAACAGTATGCTCTAATTTAATTGGTATTATGTCATGAAGTTAAAATCCTCAAAACAAACCTACTTCTAACTTAAAGCCTAATTTATTCTATATCAGATTAGGAGATGCTAAAACAGAGGCTACAGAAATATATAAATTCCTTTATAATAACCAATTAAACATGGAATCAAAACCATAGGCATTAAAATTATAAAATCATCGCGCTGTTCCTTTACAGACTGAAGCCCAATGTCTATAAAAACCAAGTGGCCTGCTGCAATCAAAACGGCCACTGGCAGAGCCATGATTTCAATTTCCATTTTTAAACTCTTAGTATGAAGCTTTTTTCTATTCAACTCATTAACATTCTACTAATAGACATTTGTCTGTATTGAAGGAGTTATTTAAAGTAATTTCATTTGGGGCCTTCTAAAGCAAGTCAAGGAAAAGATTTATATCATGTGAGATTCTAAGTTAGGCTTCATTTTCTACATAGCAGCTCTTCTACAACCCTGACTCAAATTTCTTCCTCTTAGTAACAGATTTAATCTGAGGAGACAGACTGTAGAAAGTGGTCTGGTTCTATTCAGTAGAAAATAACCTTTCGACAGCTTATACTACAAAAGTCCTGATAAACTCTTTCATTCTTGTGAAAAAGTAACCAGAAACCCTTAATTGCTCATCTGCTCTGAGAGTCCCCATGATTTCTAATACCCAAAAATAAAGTCCACCCAATAATTTTTTTCTTTCCTTTATACACATGATCAGAATCCAACAAACTAAACAAGAAATGTAAAAAGCTATCATGAATTATTCCTAAGTCCATGCTGAACTTGGATTCAATTATGTATTTTTATTTTGAATTTCTCTTCACAGCTTCATTATAAAAAATACTATTCTGGTATAACACCAATTAAAGTAGCGACATACCCTGAATGCTCTGTTCTTCTCTTCTTTCTGCTGTTTCTCCACTTCGACATGGTGGGCTAGACGAGCCAAAGTCAGAGCAACTTTGTCCTTCTGATGGTCGATATAGTCTTTACGCTGAACATTATGCTGTAATTGAAAAAATGGTTTTCATCCCTTTAACCAACAAAATTAGTTATATAAACATTTACCAAACAGTTATTATACCAAAAAATCATTTACTTTTAGAATAATCAAATCTCTAAGAACCTGTCTTATTTATTTTATATTTTATGTGGTATTTTGTAGATTGGCCAATCATCTAACCGCATTTTTTGGTTTTCAAAATACTGGATAAACTACCTGCTAAGACATTAATCATTTTTATTTATAATCATCTGGGTATTAAAAAGTTTGGCATTGTTTTGGTCTGAGTCTATAAGGTAGTCCCAGCAACCCATTAGTTCAAGCTCCAAAAGGTCTAACAGTACAAACCTCCTTGACTATGGTTTTTCAGCCATGTAAGGTCGGTATTTACTTAGAAGAGAAATTTACTGATTATAAAGAACAGATCTAACTTTCAGTTTCTGGTCCAAAGGTAAGGAGTCTGGAAGCTGTCATTCAGGGTATGTAGCTATTTTAATTGGCGTTATACCAGAAGTCTTGGAAGCTGTCACACCATCCTAACAAGTAAAAAGCTAAAAAGTCAAGAACTCTCAGATTCATCAGAGAAGTGAGGTGAGGTCACAGTGTAAACCACAGCTCCAAAAATGAGAGGGGGGGCAGATGCAGAGGATTGTAACTTAGTGAGGCAGAAACCCATGAGTGGAAACCTCAGCAGAAACCAGTATTGGGTAGGAAAACCTGAACTTTAATTGATGAATTGCTGGAGGCTGAGTGTAGACAAGTCTTAGGAGTTAAAAACTCCAGGGAGACCTAGTCACAGGGGAGGCCCCTCACACTTTTGTGAGTTAATCTCCAGGAGTTCTACCATATTCTCACAGTAAATTCCCTCATGTTTCCTGCAGGGGAGAGAAAAAGTAAGCATTTTGAAATATGCCAGAGCATTCTATTCTTAACAAGGCTGCCCTCAAAAGAAACTATTTTACCAGAGCCTAACCAACCTGAGAGAAGGGAAATATCCAATTCCAGGCCCACTTGAGGGGAGGGACTGAGCAGCACTGCTGAAGTTCATGGGCAAGGGGCATGGACTCCATAACTGAGACCTAGTCACAGGCCTATACAGTGCTACCATTTCTCCCATACCTAACTACGGCATGTAAAGGCCTATTTACTACAGTCCCTTATACATAGCACAACATGCCCACCTTTCAACAAAAACTAACAAGGCATACTAAAAGGCAAAAAACACTTTGAAGAATCAGAACAAGCACAGAATGGGAGACACGGCAGGGATGCTAGGATTACTGGATCGGGAATTTATGACAACTATGATTGGTATCCTAAGGGCTATAACTGAAAAGTTGACAACGTGCAAGAGCAGATGTGTACTGTAAAGAGAGATATAAATCCTAGGAAAGACACAAAAACATCAAAAACGCTATACAGAATGAATAACGCCTTTGATGGGCTCATTAGCAAACTGCATACCACTGAGGAAAGAAATCTCTGTGCTTGAGTATATTTCAACAGAAACTTCCAAAACTGAAAAACAAAGAGAAAAATGACTGAAAAACAAAAAACAGAATATCCAAGAATTATTGCAAATGATGTAATATACGCATAGTAGGAATATCAGCTGCAGAGGAGAGAAAGGAACAGAAGAAACATTTGAAGCAATAAAGACTGAGAATTCCCCCAAATCAATGTCAGACCAAATCACAAATGAAGAAGTAGTAAAATCCTTTTTGTTCACTGATGATATGATCTTCCCAAGAAAAAAATATACAAACAGTAATTGGGGTGAAGTAACCTGTGTAATTATACATTTCCAGCAGCTTTACTTGTTGTAATTACCAAAAAGGCTATACATACTGTATGAGTCCAACTACATGACATTCTGGAAAAGCAAAACTATAGTGAGAGTAAAAATATACATATATCAGGGTTTTGGAGGAAGAAGGAATAAATTGTCAAGAGTACAGAGGATTTTTTGGGCTGTAAAACTATTCTGTACATTATAAAGGTGAATATCTGTCCTTATACATTTGTCCAAACCCACAGAATGTACACCACCAAGAGTGAACCCGATGTAAACTATAGACTTTGGGTGATAATGATTTGTCAACATCAGTTTATGGATCATAACAAATGTACCACTGCACTAGGGGATCTTGGTAATGGGAGAAGTTATGCATGTATAGGCACAGAAAGTATATGGGAAATCTCTATACTTTTTTAAGTTTATTAAAAAGAATTTTACTAGAAAGACTGGGTTACTAACTAAAATGTCACTCTTCAGGCAAATCAGTGATATATGAACAACCCAAATTTTACCAAAGGTGGGACACAGTTGCATCAACCAAGTCAAATAGCAGGTATGATTTTGCAAATACACAGATGTTACACAAAGTGAGCATATATAAAAGGTCAAACTGGTATTTTCAGTACAAGACTACATCTTAGCAGTAAGGGATGCTCACAGGCTCACTCAGGACAGAAACAGTCCCAGCTAACTTTCGGGTCACTTGGCCAGCTTACAGTGCTACAACAGGTTAGTAGATAGTATTCTAACAACTCAAAAATGTTGTTTTAAAAGTCATAGGACAATGTAGCTTATGAGAAAGGATGGTCACAGAAAGCTATTTACCTGAGCTCTGATCCTTTAGTGGCAAATTTATCTGTCTTAAAAACAAATTAGATTTACTCTTTCGGGAAGACAAAAAAAGTAGTATCTATTTATTTAAAATGTAGGTATTACCTTAAGAAGGAAATTTACATCGTTATACAAAGTCTATAGTTACTAAAAATTAGATCCTAACAAAATTTTTAATTTGAGGAAGTTAATATTTAAACATAGGCCTAGAATGTACTCCCTTTCCTGACAGAAATAACATTTTACAGAGATAACATTGAACATTTACTATTAAACTCTAGCAAAAGTCATGCTTGGAAGGCCAGATATATCAAAGCCATATTAACACATGAGGCAGACAAGGTATAAAATAGGGTTCAATTACAAAATATACTGTTGTGTTATAACACCATGAATATTCTGGGAACAGGAAGTATGCCACATTTTAGATTAATTAAAGTAATCCTAACCCATGAAGGGCTACCCTTGAATTGATGGTTTCACTATCATTTTACTTTCTCCTTGGCCACAACAAAACAATTGTTCTGGATTACTTCTAAAGTTATACTCATTCAGATAGACTTCACATAATATTTATTCTTCTTAAAGTTTATTTTAAAAGTTATTTTAAAGCTTGCTTTAAAATGTTTAATTGTTCTCAATTTACAAATTACAAATATACTCTGGACACAAAGTTAAATGAAAATTTAAGTCAGAAATAGAGCAATTATATATCCAATGGGGAAACTCTGAGAGATACACTAGTCACAAAATATAAATACGTTTCTAAAACTTTCTCCCTTCAAACTACACTCATATGTTAGCAAGATAAACTATTTAGCTCTTTAATCAACATCTAAACAACATTTGTTCAGAGCACTTCAACTTCACCCTAAAATTAATCTCTTGCCCTACAACATTACCTTTTGAAGGTCAAATAACTTGAACCTGTTGGTATAGTTTGCTAAAATTATTTTTTGTAGAGAAAAAGGAATGGTACCATGGATATACAATGGGGAAATAACAGCCCCTTCAACAACTGGTGTTGGCAAAACTGGACAGCTACATGCAAGAGAATGAAACTGGATCACTGTCTAACCCCGTTCACAAAAGTAAACTCAAATGGATCAAAGACCTGAATGTAAGTCAGGAAACCATAAAACTCTCAGTAGAAAGCATAGGCTCTTGAATTTAGAGACGAGCAACTTTTTCCTGAACGCATCTCCTCGGGCAAGGGGAACAAAAGCAAAGATGAACAAATGGGACTACATCAAGCTAAAAAGCTTCTATACAGCAAAGGATACCATCAGCAGAACAAAAAGGCATCCTACATATGGGAGAATATATTTGTAAATGACATATCCAACAAGGGGTTAATATCCAAAATATATAAAGAACTCACATGCCTCAACATCCAGAAAGCAAATAACCCTATCAAAAATGGGTGGAGGAGCCAAACAGACAGTTCTCCAAAGAAGAAATTCAGATGGCCAACAGACACATGAAAAGAGGCTCCGTATCACTAATCATCAGGGAAATGCAAATTAAAGCCACAATGAGATATCACATCACACCAGTTACGATGGCCAGCATTGAAAAGACTAATAACAACAAATGTTGGCAAGGATGCAGAGAATGGGGAACCCTCCTACACTGCTGGTGGGAATGTAAGCTAGTTCAACCATGGTGGAAAGCAGTACAGGGGTTCCTCAAAAAGATCAAAATAGAAATACCATTTGACCCAGGAATTCCACTTCTAGGAATTTAACCTAAGAATAAAGCAACCCAGTTCGAAAGACAGATGCACCCCTATGTTTATCACAGCACTATTTACAATAGCCAAGACATGGAAGC